GCCATTACTCTGAGGATTCAGTGGAGGATTTTTGGTGGATGTCAGTGACAGATGACATGAACTGAATATTGGTGCTAGGAAACCACTACCCTAAAGAGAAATATGTTACTGCATCATTTTAGAATCATAGAATCATTTAGGCAGTAACAACCTCTTGCGGTTATCAAGTGCAACCAATAACCCATCACGGCCAAGTCCACCTCTAAACTGTGTCCCCAAGTGCCACATCTACATGTCTTTTAAATAGTTTCAGGGATGTTGACTCTACTCCACTTCTCTGGGCAGCCTGTTCCAAATGCTTGACACCCCTTTGCATGGAAAAAAAAAAAATAAATTTAATGTCCACTCTAAATCTCCCTTGATGCAACTTGAGGTTGTTTGTTCTTGTCCTGTCACTTTTTTGGAGCTTGGTGGACTTGATCTTCTCTTTTCAGGCTTGAAGAGATGGTTCTTTTCACAGCGAGTGTCTCAGGGACATTTGATGTGCAGCCCCTAGTATTGAGTGGCTAAGTTTTTTTTATTCTTAAATTGGAAATGAGGATGTGTTATATGAAATGCATCAGTGCAAATGCATCTTTAAATTCTATGGATTTTAAGGAATTTGGATGTAGAATTTGGATACCATAATGAAGTAGGAATGCAGCTGACTAGGCAGGGTGCAAATTTCAAGAATAACCAATAATATGCTGTGTCTCATGCAACACAAAATCATTGGAGTTCATGAGCTTCTTATACATGATACTGTTTGTTTTGTTTTTCCTGTCTGCACAGGATTGAAAGAAACAGTAGTGGGGGAGGAAGAGATGAATGTTTTAAAGGGTATCAAATATCTGTACACAGAAGTCATTACTTGGTTTACACAGAGCATGGCTTCATTTGGTAATAGATGTAACCAGCAGGAAGAAAACACGATACTTTGCTGAACTATTACTTATAACTGAAAATGCTGCAGTTGCATATTGCTCTCCCTTTCTACAAATTCTGTCAGAGGCTGATATTTCACTGTGCCTGAATGACTGATAAACATTGTGTGGGAAGCTGCTGCATACCTGTCTATTCCAGTTATATTTACTTCCTTATGGAGAGGTGGAATGTGAACCTTCTCTGTTTGCGGAGACCAAAGCATTTTTTGGACATGTTTATACTAGAATAAATTTATACTGGAGGATATGAAGCAACTAGAATTGCCTTTTTGTTTGCCCTGTTTAAACTCCCACCACATAAGCTTAATTACACATTTTGAAGTGAAGACTAAAGAATTAAACTTTCAGGAACACTCAGAATTCACCTGATTTTTACTGCAGTGGTTTCAAGATGGTTTTCCATAATTTTTAATAGAAAAAGTAGTTAGAGCAGTGCTGAGCACATGTGAAAATCCTATCTGTAGAATGTGCATTTGAATTATATAAAACTCATACCTTTTTTCAAACTGCCTTTCAGACCAGCTTAACACGGAAAGTATTTTATTGCTTAAGAGATAAACAATTGCAGCAATCAGAACCCAAGAGTGTTTTCAATTTCAATTTTAAAAACCCACAGAAGGTCAACTAGTGCTTTAAAATGTTGGTGCAGAAATCAGAGCAGGGCATTGCAAGCCCACGCGTCTTTTGCAGCCAAACTTCTGTTCTAGGTTGTTCTGTATTTTGCGTGTGAGAGTCACCGCGGAGCATCTGTTAATGCATCACTGAAATGGAACCACTCGTACCCGTGGGGGAGGTAGTGGGATGCGCTGTCCTTACTCATCCCCCGTCCCGATGTTGAGCCTGCCGGCGCTGCAGCGATGTGTCACGGTGGCACAAACAGGTTGCCAAGCAGCAGCTGCTTTTGCCGAGCACCTTGTTTGGAGCCGTGACTGCTCCGCACACGGCTATTTGTGGCACGGAGTGAAATGCTCAGCGGGCTTGGCTGGCCACAGAGCCGTCTCTGTAAGAGTCCCTCTCTGCCCCTGGCAGCCGCCGGTGCGGGCAGCCAGGTTGGAAAGCTGTGCAGAGAAGGCAGCGTGGAGTGAGGCGGCAGTCATCCTTCAGCAGGGATTAGGCAGTGCGCCTATTTTTGCTATTGTTTACCAAAGTCCTTCTGGTAACCGCTGTGGAACACTTCTCCCTCCCTCTTCTACCATTTCCTTGAGCACCTACCCTACCGCCAGTTTTGGTTTCTGATAAGATCCTCAGTGTGCCAAGAGGAGACTGTCTTTCTCTTTCATATCTACCTTTTCTAGTTAAACACTCAACTTCTTTTTTCCCTAACACTGCATCTTTAACAACAGGCTGCTTGCTATGTTTTGTCCCATATCCCAGGGAATGCCCTTGGGAAGCTGCTGCTGCTGCAAAACAACCTCTTACATACTTGTCACTCTCCATGGACAGCTTCACCTCAAAGTAACCTAGAATTCCCTGATGAAAATGCAGTGTATTTTTAACAATGTATTTCAGATCTTGGCAGCATACCTCCTACAAAATGTCAGAAAAGAGAAGGATGGCCAGCTGCTCCGTATTTGTGGATTACCAGACCTCCACAGTAGAAGCTGGGTTTTGCTTCAGTAGCATAAAGGCCCTTTTTAAACTCCTGTCAAGCTCCTTCTTGTTTAATGGAAAAAACTGGGAAACTGGAGAACCAGGCAGCTTCTACTTATTGCACATAAGGAATCCTATGACTTTGAAGGACTTCTTCCTGACAAAAACTAGGAAGATAAAACCAGGCTTTTTGGATGGACATCTTACTGCAATAACTTGCTGTACTACTTGCTTTGCTACAGCCATGCAGAAGACTGCACAGTAGCAAGCTGAAGAAGCAATCAAATGTTTTCTTGTGGATCAAAGAGGGTATGAGGCAGCAGAAGTGGCTTCCAACCACACTGGTCACCTGTGGATTTCAGGTTACTGCAAAATTGTAGTAGTCCACCAGGAGAAAGTCTCTACAGGGCACTTTTGATTTGCAGCAGCATCTTCCCTGGATAATTGTCTGTGATCTGGGACAAAATATAGGAAAAGAGTTGGGAAATTGTTGAAAAAATAGTGATAAGAGGAAGAGATAGGCTGACTTGCTGTTTGTTATCTTGGTAGTTTCATGCACCTTTACTAATCCTGGATGAATCAGCAATTTTAGTCCACTGCAGTCAGTCTCGCTGAAGTTTTTTATACCCACAGAAGCTCAGCACTGACCTGTGCAAGAAGTGTTGGGAAGCAAGACGAAGAAGAAGAGCTGGCATCACTATACCTGCATGTCTGTTTGCAGACACTGCACATTTTCATCACTAATGTTTCAGAGAATGCAGAAATCTTTTATTCCAGGACTGCAGTGGTGCTCTGGCAAGATCTTTGTGCCCTTGGGCTACAATCTGAGCATTGCTTCATCTGCAGCTTGCCCCATGACAGATAAAAATAGGGCTTGAGCTGCAGCCAGGCTGTGTCAGTGGTGAGGGTGCAGCCTCCTTAGCCTGTTAGAGCTTGACTTCTGGTAGCTCTGGCATAGGGTGAATAATCACACCTACAGACAGGCAAATAAGAAGGGTCATGCTGCCCGGGTCCCACCTACACAGGGAAATAGCTTGCCTAGGGCCTTGCTCCTTGTTGAGGGGAAGTGAAGGAAAGACACTGACCAAACCCATTCCACAAATTTGTCAGCAGAAGGAGCAGCGTAGGACTGCGTTGGCTGAGCTGCAGGAAGGTGGCTGCCTGCAAGCTCAGGCCTGCATGGAGGGTGGCATGTGGGCTGCTGTATGCTTGCTGAGCAAGCTGTCCTAGCTGATGGTGAGAGATATGGCCAAAAACCATCACCAACCAGACCCTCTGTGGTAGGTCCTAGGGAAGGTACAGGTATATTAAGAAATTGTAGCCTTGACTGGACATTCTGTCATGTCCTGTGACAGTGCAAGAGGAAATGGTTTCAAGTTGTGCCAGGGGAGGTTTAGATTTAAGATCAGGACAAATTTCTTCACGAAAGCGTTGCCAAACACTGGAACAGACTGCCCAAGGAAGTGTTAGTGTCACCGTCCCTGAAGGTATTTAAAAGATGTGTAGATGTGGCACCTGGGGACATAATTTAGTGGTGAATGTAGCAATATTAGTTTAATGGTTATACTCAGTGGTCTTGAGGTCTTTTCCAATCGAAATTATTGTATTATTCTCTGATCTTAGTTCTAGTTTCTCTGTTTGTTCCTGTTACTTGTCTTCTTGCTGTCCTCTGCTTCCTCATGCCCCCTCACTGACTAGCAGATTCTTCAGCTACCAGTGTGTTGTGTGTCATGAGCACAAAGTGCATGCAGTTCTGCAGTTCAACTGATTGCTAACAAGGCTGAGACAGTTCAACACAAAAGTTAATTACTCAGGAGGGCTTCCCAAAAGCCTTCCTTTTCTGCAGTTAGAAAGTGCTGGAAGCTGAGTATCCCAGATCTGCGACAAGCACTGTGCTTCAAAGAGGGAAAGGTTGAAGGAGTCTGAATTATTAGCTGCAAGTCTTACTTCAGTTAATGTTCTTATGTTGGATAGTTGTTCTACATGCAGCACATCACTGGAAATAAAGCTTTGGTTTTCCTCCTTCATATATTGTCCATTATGGCATGCCTGTCAGTTTTGTTAATGGCCTGAGAAACACAACAGAAATTAAACCATTTGCCTGTACTTACTCCTTGTGTGAAGTACTGACAAGAAGAAAGACACAATAGATAAATTCAATACATATGACTTAGAAGACACAAGTGGAGAATTGAAAGCCGTTTTTACAATGTAATTAACACACTATAGCATTAAAGCAATATTTACCTGGAGTCAGGACTCTTCTGTTCCTGCTTTCCACTATTGGTTTGCCCATGATAAAATATTGTTGGACTGCCTCCACGCCCCCTCAGCAGAAAGAAGGTGCAGCCAAGTTTGGTGGTGAACTTATTTGCTCACATAGGTTACTCACACCACCGCTCTCCTGGGTAGCTTCTGTCAGCAGCCAGCAGCAAAGACCCTTTCCAGCATCCGAGTTTACATGAGGGCCTGGCAGGGGAGTGTTCTCCTCTGTGCACAGCCAGCTCAGTAAATCTCAGCGTGACAGGCTCACAGCCCTGCTGCTGAACTTTTAACTTGAAGCTCTAGCAGGGTGCTGAGTAGCTCCAGCTACATGACACGAGCTGTGAAAGTAAATCACTTTGCTGGGAACAAGGGGAAGTCCAGCATATTGTTTTGCGGACTTTGCCTACAGTTTGCTTGCAGTGTAAGCATAGAATATATACACCTGGGAAGGCAGTGAGAGCGAGATGGACTTCCAGCACAGAACTCAGCCGTTCCCCATCCCAGAGGATGAAGAGGTTGCGTACAAGGTCGCTCCCGATGCTCACAACTCCGCAGGAAATGAAGGCGAGAAACCGGTGTCAAAATTGCAACGTAGGCACAGTGAAATAAAACTCTACAAAGAGTTTTGTGACTTTTATGCAAGATTGTAAGTTTATTCTGTTCAGCTTCGGGGTGTGACTGCAGTGACATTACTGGTGTACTGTACATAATGTGTTTTATTATCTGGGGCTCAGGCTGTGCAAGCTGTTCTCTCATCCAACCTTTGCCACTGTTCTGCTTGAAACATTGCCAGTTGTAACTGTCAAGTAAAATTTGGATTGTTACTTTAAATTTCATCATTAATTGCATCAGAAATTTTTATCAGCAGTAAAAATGGTGTTGGAATTTTTAAAGTAGTCTCTCTGCCTTCAGGTTGTTTGCCAGTTATTCTGGGCAAATGGAAACCGCTTCATTAATTAAGAAGTATTACATACTTCACTAGTTTTACATATATGACGTGTTTCAAAGTGAAGCACTTTTTCCTGTAGAGGGAAACTGTTTTTATTTGGTTTTGAACTTTGTTTCATGTTTTTCTTGGATTATACTTTACGTACAGCAGTGCTTAGCATCCTTAATGCTCGAGCACTGTTGAAGCGATGATGAAAGATCCCAGTTTCTCTTGTGATTATTCTTCATTTAGATTGCTAAGGAGGCTGGAGAAATTGGCTGAGGTTTTTCCCCACAGAAAGCATACACAGTCCATGAAGACCATTGGCGAGCTTTATAGTTGATCACAGTTTATGGGTATAGTCACTGCAGTTTGTCCATAGGTCTGTCTGTTATGTATGGGTTAGACCATCCTGCATCCGATCTTCATGTGAAATTTGCCTGCTCATTCCACTGTGAGGGCAGTGGATATTTGGATTGCAGTTGCTGTTTTCCTCATCTGCAAAGATCGAGAGAGAAAAAAAAAAGTGACAGCTAATAATAACATGTCAGATGTGACCTTGTGTAGGGCTCTTCTGTGAGACAGTGTAAGAAATAGATAAAACACATTCCATTTTGAACCACGTGCTAGGTGTTTGCTTGCTCCCTTGGATGGTGTGCAAGGAATGCATTCAGTTCCTATTGAACATGGTGGGAGCCCAGAGGTCTTATCCCCTTGAAGGGATAAGAAAGAAGGCTTGGCATCTTGCAGGGGACTGTGGGCTCTGCACTTACAGGCACAGCATGATAGCTGTATCAAAATGTGTGCATGCATGCACATGTGTTTCAAATAATGTCACTTGTCTAATAACCTTCCAGATAAATTTTGAGTCAGTGGTTTTGTCAGCTGACATCACATTGTAATGAAATTAGACCATTGCCCTAAATTTGCTCTCTGCTACCACATGGTATTAGGGCAGTGGGATGATCCTGAAAGCCGGAGCTTTGAGAGTCTAGATATGAGTGACAAAATGTTTGCAAAGGAAAACTCAAAAGAGCCTTTTTCTGGCTTTAATTAACTGAAACACATCTGTACTGTCTTCTGCAGCTACCACATTGCCATTTTTTTGGTCCTGTGCCTTTGAGAAGCAACCAAGGTTGCTGTTTCAATATTTCTTTGCATCTCCGGCATGGGTTTGCCAGCTTGTGTTGGCTTGTGTGTGGGTTGCAGTGGGGCAGCCGGAGCATTCCCATCCTCCCCCTGGGCCCTGGAGTGAGCTGGCACATGATGAGCTGACCTCCCTGAGATAAACCTTAACAAACCAATCAAAAATCCCATGACTTCAAATTAAATTTGTAAAATTACTTCAAGCTATGCAGAGCTCATATAAAGAATAATTATTTAACTACTCTGTTTTTCATTAATATCTGCCAGACTAGATCCTGCACACTCTATCACATTTTTTATTTGGAGCTCTGAACTAATGCCATTATATATATGTATATTTTAGAACTTATATATGTATATATTAGAATTGGTTTGCAATAAATTGTTATATTTTCCTGCATGATTCCAGTCCTCCATCATTAATATTTGCCCTTGTTTTCTGTAATTTTAATGTATATCATAATTTTTATAGTACTTTGAATTGCCTGTCTTTTTTCATCATAAAAAGCCTGTAAATGTGTCTGTAGTGACAACGTTTCTCTTTGGGGTTTTCAATTAATTAGAGAATATCACAGGGATTTTGTTTCTAAAGAAATCAGGGAGCAGGGAGAAGTGGTAGCTTTATTTCCAAGGAGATGCCGCAAGCCATGAAGTTCATTGAAAAACTTGTCTTGAGCAGCTTAGCATTAGGTTGATGCAGTTTGGCCTGGTGATGGGGGGGAAGACCCACAGCCAGTGTTGTTGTGTATTTAGGCTAATTTTCTGTTAATTTTCTTTTTTTTTCAATGACAGCAACATGGCGAACGCTCTTGCAAACGCCATCTGCGAGCGCTGCAGGGGGGGCTTTGCTCCTGCCGAGAAAATTGTCAACAGCAATGGTGAGCTGTACCACGAGCAGTGCTTCGTCTGCGCGCAGTGCTTTCAGCAGTTCCCTGAGGGGCTCTTCTATGAGGTAAGCGGGGCAGAGGACCCCTCCTGTCCCCGTGCCCCCTCCTGAGCCTTCCTTATCATAGCAAAAGTAGCTACAGGCAGGTGGATAGCTTGGAAAGTCCCATGGGAGGATCTGGGCTCTGAAAGAGTATGCCCAGGAAAGGGAGAAAAAAACCAGGAGGATATCAATGGATATAATGTTCTTTAAATGTGGACCTTAATGTTATCAGTGCTGAGAGAAAAATTCCTGGAGGTCTTTTTCTCAGTGCAAATTTTTTCCCTGAAACTTATGAATCTGATGTATCATACCAGAAATACATAGGAAACATACTTCTTAGAGGAGAAAGTCATATAGAGGGAAATCCCAGCATCCTGTGGTCCATAGGAGGTTTATCACTGAGTTGAGTGAGTCCAGTTTGGCATTGGAAAAGAGATGATCTGTATGTGTGCATGCTGATGCAAACCAGACCAGTGTAAGATCGACTCTTAAGTTAAACAGTCCAGAGCATTCGAAATCACCAGTTCTTAACACATTTTCAGGGGTTAAAACCTGATCTTATTCATATTTCTCAGCTCCAGGTTGATTTACTTCAGCTTAGGGAGGGTATTTTGGAATAGGTTTAATTTTCTGTTTCCCTCTCATGGTAATTCAGAATGTGACTCACCACCAAGTGGCTTTAGTGAAAGCTCTAGACTGGTTCATAAAATTCGAACTGATTAGTATAGGGAACAATAGATGGTGTGAGACAGGGAGTTACTGTCAGAGAGATAAGGTCCTGCTCGAGTAGTTTACAGTCCATCTTAGGGTAGCAGTTACAGGATTTGTGTCATATGATGATCTGAAAAGGAAAATGAGCAGAGTATAAAAGGAGTAATTCTGTGCTCTCACATACAGGTGTCATCCTTTGGTACGAGCACAATAGTTATCTTCCACAGGAGCATTTCTAATTTTACAGAGCCGTGGTAATGAGAAGAGGCTGAGGGAGGAGTGTGGATTGCGAAAGAGACTGGCTAAGGGGATTTGCTTTTTCTCACCTTGTTTGAGGATCAAAAGGCTCCAGAGATAGTGTTACACAAATTGTAGTAAATTAGCCTCTAGTGTTCCATAAGACATCAAAAGGTGAGCTGCGAGGCAGAATTAATTAAATAGAAACAAAAGAACACCCCCCTAGATACTTAACAAGTTGCATTACAATTGTTAATATATACTGAGCTGACTCTGTAAAGAGTCCATCCTGACATGTTAAGACCTGAGGCAAATGTGAAATGATATGAACATTTCAAAATTAAAATATTTGTAATTATGTTAGTAAAATTGTCTAAAACCAATAAAATTTATTTTCTCTAAATAATGAATACTTTATTCATTCTTTTTCTGACTCAAAAAGCAATGAGTCATTCCAAGGACCTCTTTCAGAAAGTTGAATGGTCCTTAAAGGTAAAGATTTGGGAAATCATGCCCTAGGCAGCCTGTATTTTCTAGAGAAGACTACTGCAGAAAGAAAGACCTACTTTTGGATGTAGTTCAGGAATGTTACAATCTCTCTGTGTTGCTCATGGCTGGTCATACCTGATTCTCCGTGGCAGAGGCAAGTATCCTAGTGGTGCTTTGATATTCTGGATGTAGGCATTTTGCTTCCTACTGCTACCTTGTTAACATTCATATTCATGATGATTGGTCTTTGAGTGCTCTCTTACTGAAACACGAATTGAAATAACACTGTGTGCTAAACATGTTTTGGCTAATGTTGCTAGGGTTTTTTTTCAGGCTGGGTAGCCTGAGAAATGTTACATAGGAAGTGGAAAATTTCAGTTAAGGATAGACACTTCTTGCCACAATTATTACAGAGGTAAAATAATGTTGGATAGGCTGAGGGTGCTGGGCCTGTTCAGACTCAAGAGACGACTGAGAGGGAACCTCATCAATGTATATAATTATCTGAAGGGAGGGTGTCAGAGGGGAAAGCCAGGCTCTGCTTGGTAGTGCCAAGCAATAGGACAAGAGGCAACAGGCAGAAACTGATGCACAGGAAGTTCCACCTGATCATGGGGAAGAACTTCTTTACTGTGCACTGGTACAGGTTGCCCGGAGAGGTTGTGAAGTCTCCCTCACTCAAGATTCTTAAGAATCATCTGGCTGCAATTCTGTGCAGTGTGTTCTAGGATGACCTTGTTTGAAGAGGGAGGTTGGACCAGATGACCCCACCTCCAACCTGGCCCATTCTGTGAAGGAAGGAAAGCCCTGAGCAGGTAGAAGGTGGGCTTAGGTTGGTGAGTGCTCAGGAGTGGCTGACAGTGCTCAGAGGACTTGAGATAATCTATCACTATCAAAAACTGTGGCTGGAGAAGAGGGGCAGAAAGGACATCTTCCTCAGACTGGCTTAATACAGTCTTTGAGAAGATGGATGTGTTTGGAGGTGTGGCCAGGTAATGTGTTTTTCTGAGCAGGTTCCTGTGGGTAAACACAGGTATTGTTGGTTGCCCAGCATGAGCTTGTGTTTACTCTGTGCCTGGTTTAGCTAAGCTAGTATTTCTTGGAAATGATTTCCAGCTCTTAGCAATTAGGAAGGCAAATACTGTTCCCCTGCCTATTGCAAGCCTTGCAGGGTTCCCCCGGTTAGTCATTAAGCTTCTTATCACACTTGCTGTCAGACACTGCCATGATAAGCCTTCATGCTGTGTTCCACAGGTGGGGGTGGAACTGGCCAGGTCTCCTGTGCTGCAGGACTTATCTCTGGGCTGCCTTCACGCACCCCCATCAGCACAGCTCGCTGTGTGTGGCACTGGAGCCAAGTCACTCACAGGCACCAGTGATACCCATCCACTGCTTAGAGTCTGCACAGCATAGCAGGGGTTTTGTGGATGTCCTCTTGAGCCTGTGTTAGAAATGATAGTTTGGATTCCTGAGACCTGCACGCCTGATGTGGCACAGAAACTGTGGGTACAGTGTATTTGATTTGTGTTCCAGTTTGCTCAGTAACATCATTTCATCAGGTTTTTTTAATACATTCAGTCGAAACAAAAATTAGCACAAGCCCATTCCAGTAGAGTTCTCTGTTCTTTGCTGTTAGGTGTGAAGTGGTAGCAATTCTGGTCTGCTTCTACTCTGCCACCTGGAAGGTGTGTATTCCCTAGAGGTGCTATTGTAGAGTTTGTCTACAGGTAGCAGTGCACAGTCCTATACTAATAGCAGAACAGATGGTCATGTTTGTTTTTGTTCGCGAGTGTTTTCTTAAAATGGTTTTTACCAACAGCTGCCTTAGAGAAACAACCTCTAAAGTCTCTGTTTTTGTGCGTGACTTTCCACTTAAGTTAGCTAAAAACATGTGGGTAAGCTGGAGGTTATTTCACAGTGAGATGTTTTATGCAGAGCCATTTACCTCATGGGCCTTCAGCATACAAAAGTGAAATGCTTGCTTCTAAACTATGTACTGTCAGATTTGTTACAGAAGCTCAAGGCTTTCTGTGATAATAACTGCTGGGTCATCCACAAAGGGCAGCACAAAGGAGCAGAGGTTGAAAATAGAAACAAGACTGAATGGAAAACAGCCTGCCTGACGCAAACAAAGAGGGGAAGAAAACCTGTTTGGTCTGTTCAGATGAACATGTGGTGGCTTTGAAATCCAAGCAAACCTAAGCATCCTCCACTGGACCACCTGTTTAAACAGAAGAGGAAGCTTTCAATTTTTTTTCAGATTGGAAAGGATTTTATCATGCAGGAAGCAAGCACAATTCACAATGAATGAGTAATTTCCATTACTCCTTGAGAAAGTAATAGCCCTGTACCTCTCAATTATTACTTTTTTTAAAAGCCGAAATGAAAAAGTAATCTGTTTTAGAGTATTACACTGGAAAACACTTGATAAATTTCTGACAGAGACTTCTGAAAAGGTCTGTACTGAGTTAATGTCTTTCTGTTCCTAATAGGTGCAATTCATGTTTGGCACAGGAATTTTCTAACCATAAGTATCTAGTGAAATGTTTTATTAGATCCCCATCCTGCCAGTTGCAAAAGTATTTATAATATTTACATTGTATTAGATCTTTGTCATTTCATATTATACAATAGGTGATCTTGTACCACATTTCTGTATTTGCTGTCCATGCACAAAACCTTACTTTCCGGGTAGTATTTTATACTGCTCACTTGGTTTTGTCTTAGGCTCAGTGAAAAGAAAGGAGTGAGATTTCCTGTTGTCCTCCTTGTTCCATTGTTTAAACTGAGACATTCAAATCCAAACATTTAATGGCATACCTAATATTGTCCACCTGGTTTTGACATGCTCATTGGCATTTGTGTCTAATAATAATGGTGCCTGAAGGTATCTAAACATTTCCCTTCATTTCAGCACATATTTGCCTACATGTTTTTACATATTCTTTGGCTAAGCTACTAATGCAGTGCTGTTGAGTCTTTTTATTCCATATGGGTTTTTTTTTTCCAATGTCAGCTTGAACTGTAGCTGAACTTACATAAGCTGTGATAAAATTCAAATCCCTTAGAAGCAATTTAACTTCATTAATGTAGTGAACTCTGCTCTTTAATATTTGGACTTGATTCTTAAGGGTCTTTCCCAACCTAAATGATTTTATGATTCTATGAAATAAGCATCATGAAGGAAAAGGCTTATTTCTCTTCATGTTTTGGCTGAACTGCTCCATAAATTACAAAGATTTCTGCCCCTGGGTGTTCTTCCTACACCAACCTCCACCCATTGGTATGCTGGGTCATTCTGGCAGGATATGTAGAATGAGGAAGACATCAAATAGGTTTGGGAAAAATGCTTCTCCCCTCCTGCTGGCCAAGGCTGTTTGTTAGCTAATTTCCTGCTCAGAATGTGTTTGGTTGCTTCAGTTTCAGTAGTCTGTCAAAATTCAGATGTCTCTTGTGATGTAAATGGGTGACAGAAAATGCACTCTCAGCAGTACTGGAGAAATGGTGTGCTATTAGCACTACATGCTAACTAGTAGGTGAATTAAGGTGGGTGGATGTACTACCTACCACATGTAGCTCATGGTCTGGTTGTTTTTGCTCAGCCCCTCATGTTTTACTACCTAATTGTATCTGGAAACACACCAGGCTGTTACAGCATTTATGTTAAGTGCAAGTTCCTCATCCGTCTTTCTATTTGCAGTTTGAAGGGAGGAAGTACTGTGAACATGATTTTCAAATGCTTTTTGCCCCTTGCTGCCATCAATGTGGTAAGTTTAAAGGTGAAAAACTTCACACTGATCACAAATGGGAGTGTCGCTGGGGGAAGATGCTGCCCTTGTATCTGTTTCCTGGGAGGTGCTTATGTTCAGCTGAGCATCTGTACTTCAGGAATGAGCTAGACTTCAGAGAAACTGGGGAGTTGCTTTTTCTAAAGGTCATAAACCAGTAGGATTTAAAAATAAAAAATTTTAATAAATAATTTTTTACTAAAATTCTTTTAGTAAATAATTCAGCTGTTGAGCCGATGATCCAATGAACCATTGCTAAATTGACCATTGACCATTCATAAACTCCTGATTGTATATACCATTATATATAATACTCCTGATTATTTATATCTGTATTTATATATGTGCTGACATTTGTCCTTTCTCATGTAGCTGAAACCATGCAACAAGACTTTGTCATCTGCTTTGACTCTTGTCAAACCCACCTGTGCTGTCCTACTTCACAGAACCTGAGACAATATTCATCATCTAGTGTTATAATCAAGTGATGGTCAGCTGGGCCCCCGCTGATTTTTTTGAAACAAATACCTTTCAGGCTTCAGTGTCTAATGTCCATCCTACATGATACTGAGGACTGCTTTTTATTTGCCACTGTTGATTTAGATGCTTGTGCATCTGCTGCACTGTAATCACTTGCATGTTTTCTTTTTCCCCCGTGTGTGACGCATTTTGCTGGGCCAGAGCTGGGAGGTTATTATTTGACTATTCCCTAAACTGTTCTGGAAATCCTTGTGTTTCTTTGGCACCTTTGGCAAGGTGCTAAAGCTTTAATTTATCTCAGTGAGGCCTTTCCTTTTGTGGAGGGAGGTGTTGAACAGCAAGGGAGAGGGAAGCAGGTGCTATGGAACTATGAATTTAAGGCTGCAGATTTGAACAAGTAGAGGAAGAGGAAGAAATGGGTTGGTGGCAATTTGTGAGGAGCTATGCTGCCTATCTCTAGGATTTCTCCTGCACAGTTGACACAGCTCTACCTTCTCCAGTCCTCTCTCCTGTTATTGCCAGCTCCTTTAAAACCTCATCAAGGTCCCTGCCCAGAGCTGGGCTTTTGCACTGCTTGTATTTAATAAACACGGATGAAGTTAATGGGGCTGTTGTCAATGATGAGGCCTTGAGCATTCCTGACATGTCTGGAGTCCATTGGATTTGTTCTTGCAAAGCCATGACTTCATGGGAAAGCGACAGAGTCACATGCTGGATATTGTTGTCCACACCGTTACCTGCCTGATCGCTCCCCTTTGGCAGCTCTTGGAGTTGTTCCCCAAAGCCAGAGCTCAGTCTCTGACAGCACTGGGAAGCTGAGCTCCCAACACATTTTGCACTGCTCAGAACCCCTGGCTACACTGCCCAGCACGAGAACAATTAAGTCACGTGTGATGGACATCACTCCACTGCCTGTGCAGTACAGTCACACTGCATGCAAAACACTGGTTCTTACACTGGTTTTTTTAATGCCTTATGGGGCAGCACTCCTTGTGGTAGGTCAGAAGTTGTGTGTGTTGGATTTACTGTTCTGCAGCTTCACTGCACCTTTGCATTTGGACTCCATGGTAGTTTTTTTGCAGGATGTTCACAGCCACCCAAGCTCAGTTCTGTTGTGCCTTGAGTATAGAATACATTCAAGGCTTGGTCCTAGTGGAGTTGAAACCTCTGCTATGTATGTGGCAAGTTAACATTGTCATACTCTTAAAGAAAAGAAGGAGAAAAATTCTTTGGACACAAGAAAGCCCTTATTATATTAAGTACTCCATAAATTTCTTAACAGCTTGAGAACAGATCAGAAAAACCAGTGAAGGGACCAAAATAGGTTTATTGCAGAGAGAAGGTGGAGTGGGCATGTAGAAGGACTTGTACGTTAATAGCAGAAGTCCTATATCAGCAAAAACATTTTCTTTTAGCCCATAACCAAAAACAACAAACAGCCCCAAATTTCCAGGGTTTGGAATCAGAACTGGGATATTAAAAGCAATGTGTCAGATTTTGGGATAAGGAAAGGAATGATGATTGTAGTCATTGTAGTGATTCATTTGTGAGTTACTTTTAAGTTTGTCTAGTATGGTGTTTTACATCCTGGTGTTGTGTTTCTTACAGGTGAGTTCATTATTGGTCGTGTTATTAAAGCCATGAACAATAGCTGGCATCCAGAGTGCTTCTGCTGTGATATCTGCCAAGCAGTATTGGCTGATATTGGATTTGTCAAGAATGCTGGCAGGTAAATCTCCACCCTCCTTCTGTTAACTGATCATAAATTAATGAACTAATAGTGGGACTGAGAAGTTTTGGTTCCTGAGGCTTTCCAGCTTAAATGGAGCAATTGAAGTATTTTCTGTGGTATGGTCTAATCATGCATCACAAAACTACAGGATCTTAAAATACTGACATTTTGACTGCTTCGACACCAAGTTTCATAGTAAACATTTTCTTTACCCAGTGACCTTTTGGGGTCATTGTAATATGTAATAACAGAGAAAACTTTCAAATACAGAAGCATTTTATTTTTTTTTATAAAAATGTTTACTTTCTTTTTCCAACTTGGTTCTCCAATTTTGGTCTAGTTTGGCACCATATTTAATAATAATTGCTTAATGTTCAGTAGGACCCTTCAGAGTAGGATATTTTTGCCAGCTATGATCAAAAGAATGTTTTACAAGTTGATTATGTGGCCACTGGCTTCTTATGTGTAATACAATATACAGAATTATCTGCAGAAGTAGGACCTGTGTGCTCATACGTCTTCTAATCTAAATTTTTAAGATTTTGAAAATAAAATGTTCATCAACGAGAATCTATAAGAAACATTGTTTTCTGTGTTTCATAAGGTTTAACTCAGCTGAAGAAATTGTATTTCTGTGGTGGCAGAAAAATTGAATGATCACCCTGAACTTGGGCAATCATTGTGGTGCTTTGAACTTGGTTTGCCCTAGCAAGGAAGTTGTTTCAACAAGGCTCAAAAAAGAACTGATTGAAATGAGGTTCTGAGAGATTTTTGGTTTAGATTTTGCACTGTAGTACCTGGTAGCAATACTTACCTCTCTTTTTTTTATGCCGTTTCAGACATCTCTGCCGTCCTTGCCATAACAAGGAAAAAGCCAGAGGCCTGGGAAAGTACATTTGCCAGAAGTGTCATGCTATTATTGATGAACAGCCTCTCATATTCAAAAATGATCCTTATCACCCTGATCATTTCAACTGTGCAAACTGCGGGTAACCTGAGTTCTGCAAAGGGAAACAGGATAATGCTGGGCTTATTTGCTTCGTCAATTTAAAGTGGAAACTTCTCCTGTACATCTGACAAGAGGGGGTGGGGTTTGGATGTCTTGTGGCCAGATGTGTGTTACTGCTTTTGGCTTGTGGGTTCAAACAACAGCTGACCTGCTGGGGAATAAAGAAAGATTCACTCTGCAGAACAAAGCAGTACCTTACAAAATACGAAGTATTGACACAGATACCATTTCTGTGGTAGTGAAATGACAGCTCACCATTCTGCTAGGAGGAGAAGTGGTTCTTTTTTGTTGCTTGAATTACTATCTTGCCTATGGTTTTTTTTTAGTTCAATGGCATCCAAACTTTGTTCTCTCTTTTTAAAACCGGTCTTTTTTAGAAGCCTTCTCCCATCTCATTTTATCATCTTCTGCAACTGCAGCACATGAAACTGCACATTTCTACATCCTGCACTGATGCAGAGGTATAGGATGAGCATTGGAGCATGGAGCAATGTAGGGCATAGCATAGATTCTTAATTTATTTCTGCTGCAAAGGAAGCTACTATTTCAGTGCCACAGCAAAGGCTGATTTGAATAACAGTATGTAGAGTTATATCAGTGGCAACCAGTTGAGAGTATTTGTGATTGCAGTCACTTTTAAGGTTTAGCTGTTCTTAGTATCTAACCATGCAAGTTACTAAAAAGTGGAGTTTATAAGATTCTGCAATGGGAAATGAATAAGCCTAGCTCATGTGGGTCTGTAGTTCTCTTTCTCTGAAGTTTGATACAAGGAAAATGTAACTAGATATAGAGGACTACATTTTACTTTCAGTTGCAGTTATGCAAATCTAAAATAAACTGGTGATAAGTGCCAGAATGTAAACCAAACATGTGCAGCTTTCACACACAGATTTGTGCTGCTAAAGCAGAATGACAATAGCTCAGTAGCTGTTTCCAGAGAGACTCGGTGCACCTTGCTTTGCAGCCTGTTCTCAGCTTACTGAGACCAGGGGTGAACTGTGTTGAATTGTGTTATATTTGATGCTGCTGCATTATTATTTGTAGTATAAATATAATTTCTGAAGCATTTTTGAGCACCTTCATTCATGCTCTCAATTCATTAACTTCTGAACAGGAAGGAACTTACTGCTGACGCTCGTGAGCTGAAAGGAGAACTCTACTGCTTACCCTGCCATGACAAAATGGGTGTCCCCATCTGTGGGGCATGTAGGAGACCAATTGAAGGCCGTGTGGTGAATGCTATGGGCAAACAATGGCATGTGGAGGTAAACATCAGATGCTAAACCATCGCTCTTACAAATGTAAACCTTAGCATATTTATCTGTGATTTTTCTGTTCAATTTCAATGAAAGGATTCTCAAAGTTTGCAGCAATGATTATAAATGCCTTCTCCAAATCCCTCTTCAACCTTATTGGGGCTGATCTTCCACCGTGACTAGTTACTTGTCACCTTACAGAGAGCTTTGACTGTGAAACTAAAATAAATAATTCAAAGGAAGCCCAGCGAGGTCCTTACAAAATAAAATTTCAGAACTCAAAGCAGTACATGTGGAAAAGCAGTCAAATCTGTGACAAACATGTTACTAGGCATCATAATACCCCTAGGTACATATTTCTTTAACAGTTCATGTGAGAATTCATATTTCAAGGCCACATACAAGATTTAGTTCCACATCTTCCATTTTAATTAGATAACTTGTTTATTCCTTCTGTTGTTTTGAAAGCCTCCTCTAGGAAATGCTTTCTTCACAAGGGTATAATTATAATGCAGATTATTTAATAACTCTTAATTCTGTTTATTGATAAAAATGCAGAATCCATTGCTTGATTTTGTTTTGTAACTTTTGGATTGAAATGTTGAAGACATTAAAAGAAATATTATTTTAATGGTCTAAATATAGAAACAGAAGTTTTAACTCTGCTTTTCAAGATGGCTTAGTAGATTTCAGCCATGTTTAAGTAGTGGACATGGTTATTTTGCTTTCCAGAAAAAAATAATGTTACTTCCAAAAGATAAAAAATTTTATTGTTATTTTCTTTGTAGCATTTTGTTTGTGCAAAATGTGAAAAACCATTCCTGGGCCATCGTCATTATGAGAGAAAAGGCCTGGCATATTGTGAAACCCACTACAATCAGGTAAGGTTGCATATTTTTTAAAATGGCATTAATTGGTAAACTCACAAATTGGTTTTATTAGACAGAGATGGAAAACCATGGACATTCTTCTGTTTTGTTAAAGGCACCTCTGGGTGTAATGGCAATTAGCATAGGTTCTGTTGCAGTTAATTTATACAGGTTTCTCTATTCATCTGTGTGGCATTAAAAAAAAAAAACAAACCTGCAGGTATTTCACAAAGGCTGGCCAGGACAATGAGTATCAAGTTGTTCTTCAAGCTTATTGGTACTTAAGTAGAGCTGTTACATGGCTTTGACGTGTCTGTGGATCAGAGCAGCTAATGACAACTAATCTCTCCTAAGAAGTTAAAGAAGATTTGCCACTCACTAACTGTTTGGAGGCCTCAGTGAGTGGGTGGGTTTCCCTGCCGCTGCTGCTCTAAGGCACTGTGTGTTGATGTATGCTGTTGCTCAGTCATTAGGCTGATAAAAGACTTCCAAGACTAAATTTGTCAGAAGACACCCTCTAGTGACCACTTGCATTTATGTAGAAGTTACATGTGGCAGCACCACCCCTCTCCAGACGCCCTTGGATGGGGAGTCCACCCCATCAACAGGGCACAGACATATTTTTCTTTGGAAGCCATCTGTGTCATGTCACATTCACCTCCCTTGCCTACATAAATACACGAGGAGGGGTTACACCTGGGAGTTGTATGGCATCTGCTAATTACAGATGGATTCTTAATTGGTCATTAGTGATGAAGGGCAGATGATTGGTGCTGGTACACTTGCAGACTGTAAATGCTGTGACGTTTGTAGTAATAGTGTTGCAGCTGGGATGGGCCAGACAAGAGCTGTATGTAGAGTGGATGTCTTTTCCAAGGTTAACTACTACAGGTAGAAAAGATACATTAAGGTTTTAGCACTTCTTGTTATATATTGTGGACAAATGTTAAGCCTGGAAAAATGTTTTTTTTTTTGTCTGAATTTTTTTTTTTTTTAATAAAGATAAAATTTTGTTACAGTAACGCATTGTTTTAGTCATGCATGTTAGTCCAAATGTTACATTTTTCTGGTTAGTAACCATATGTACATGACACCAACTGCTGTATTTCAAATCTTCCATATTAGAGAAATCTTGAAACAAAACAAAATCATACTTACAGAGAATCAAAGGTAGATAAATGTTTTCATCTTTAATATTATCAAGACTTGTTGTGATGAGGTGATGCAAAATGTACTTGGAAAACCAAACCAGACTTGCCAGCATTTTCTTTATTTCACTGGAACAAACAGGAAAGTGATTGTGCCCATCAGCTGAAACATAGTTGTTTTGCTAGTTTGATAAGTTACCTTCAATAAAATCATTATATTAAAAATTTATTACTTCTCTTTCCTCTTCAGCTGTTTGGTGATGTTTGTTTCCATTGCAACCGTGTGATTGAAGGAGATGGTAAGCACTTTTCTGTTTCCTTAAGGTTCCTTTTTGATGGAAGTTCTCTTTAGAAGTGAAAGTAAGGGGGAAGCAGCCCAGTTTTCATTAAAACAAAACCAGATGTTCTCTTGACCAGAAATTAAATTAGAGTGGATTAGTCAGAGACCAAATGATAGGAAAACCTGACATCATATCATGATGGTAGAAGACCACCCCATGGCCAAAGAAAACTGTGAAACCCCTTAGTGACATGCAGAGGCCAGGGATGCTGGAAGATGCTTAGAAGTCACTTCCTGCCACACCACCTTCAAAAAAGAACACATGCAAGGGTAAGAAGGAGCATACAGGCATCTCCACAAATGAATTTGTGGATCATGAGACAAAATTGAAAAAATATTTAGATACTGAAAGGCATAGGTGGGCATTGTTAGGAATTTTTTTAAAAATGCCTTGTTCCCGATATGTCTCTTTGAATCCTGGAGATATTTACCTATTTCAAGCAACTGTCTTTTGAAAATCTAGGCTTATGATAATGTCACAAAACCAGGAATGATCATACTTGGAAATATATGTCCTGTAAAGGCAGAACTACAAGTAATTTGTTGGTTTTGTTATTGTTTGATTGGGTTTTTTAGGAGAAGGAGGTGGGTTTGAGGGTTGTTTTTTGGGGTTTTTTTGATAACTAGCTCTGATAAAATGCCAAAAGCAAATTATTCTACCTGAAATAATGTGACATTATGTACCTATTTACCCCATCCAAAGTAAGCACTATGTTAGCCTCATCTAAGCCAAAGGCATTAGCAAAGTAGGAGGAACCTTCTAACATTCAAAAAGAGACATAAAATAGTTTACAGTCATGTAACTACAGGGTAAGACATACATTCTGTAGATGTGCTTTCCCTACATTTTCTGGACTGCACTGTGCCTTCAGAATGACAATACAAAATGTTTTAGAGGAAAGAGTCCTCATTTTCAGGAAAATTTTACAGGAATGAGCAGAAATTGAACTTTTCTGATAACTACATCTCTGTATGATTCTCATCTTTCACCATATATTCTGACACCAATATTGTAAGTTTTGGTCTCTGAACTGAAAATAATACAGTATACACTAATTTCTTTATTTTCAGTGTATGTCTTCAATTACATTTCTTCTTTCATTTCTGCACACAAATTTTGAGTCAGCTGTCACAAATTTGGTATCCAGTATTTTTCTCTGTTGGGTGAAACAAATATCTGTAGCAGCAGTTTTTCAGGAGGGTGTCTATGGCTGCATTACTGAGGTTGCTTGGGAGCAAAGAACTTCACCTGCCTAGTATTATTCTGGAAAGCAGTGGAATAACTGTGTATCTGTGAACATGCTTGCCCAATAGTGCAGGAAAAACCCTCTGTATGACAATATTTTGGTTCTCCTTGTTGTTGACAAAATACTGTGAGAAAAACATTGAGAGATCAAGTGAGAAAAACATTTATAAGTAAAATATTGTCCCACTTCCTCTAACTTAGGAAAATATTGGCAGGGCAAACTGGAAAGCTGTACTGTAAGAGAGAAAGAACAGGAACCTACAGAACAAAAAGGATATAGTTACTTTCTCTTCAAAGCCAAGAATAAAGAGAGTCCATTTTTTTTTCACCTTGGTAGTGCTGATTTACCAGAAGTGTCTGGCTGCTGGCTTTACATTATTTTCTTCAGATGGGCAAATGCAACTGTTGATTGCAGTGCAGTCTGAACTGGATCTGAGAAATGAAACTGTATGAAAACATAAACACAATTGTGCTGGATTGCTCTTCAGCTGGAAGCATTTCCTGATTAAGTTGGAACCTGGCCTCACAGAACCATTGCTGAGATCAGCTGGATATGAGATGAAGTGGAAGCGAAAAATAGGAGGCAGAAATAGGTTAAGCTGGTCTTGCCCCAGGGACAGCTGTATCAATGCTTCACAGTCCTGCTCCTTACACTCTAAAATGTGCCTCGCCAGTCTGGCCATGTTATTATGGTCCTTAATACTTGATATGAGAATCAATGAGTGATCTTCACACCTCATGAATATGTAAACTTAAAATTTTTGTAATAATTTTTTTTTTCCATTGGTAAGGCTAATGATTTTTTTTTCCCATCTCCCTAGTTGTGTCTGCTCTGAATAAGGCATGGTGTGTGAACTGTTTCGCTTGTTCAACTTGCAACACTAAGTTAACCCTCAAGTAAGTTTATGGATAAGTGTGATGTCTTCACCACATATCAGCAGTTCTCTTCAAAGTGTAGATGTTGCTATAGTGTAGCTGTTACTGTATGAAAAACATGTAAGCAGCATCGAGGGAATAAGTGTCTCTTCCTCTTGCTCCACTTAGTACTTTCCATCTCTTTCCACTGTTTCTTCAGGTCTTCCTTCAGTTAATCTTCCTAACTCTTCTCCTTTCCCATCCTTTATTTTTTCTTGTTTAACTCTAAAGGGATAAGTTTGTTGAAATTGATCTAAAACCTGTCTGCAAACACTGTTATGAGAAAATGCCAGATGAATTTAAGCGACGACTTGCCAAACGGGAACGTGACGCAAAGGATAAAGAGAAGCAGAAAAAGAAAAAGCCAATCTGTTTGTAAACTTCTTTTCCTTCTCATGGCCACCTCTGCTCCTTTCTTCTGTGGTTAGTCCTAAGGATGGTTTTTTTTGCACTTTTGCATGAATTTATGGCAGTCAAAACCAAAACATCTTTCACGCAGCTGCAACTTGAAATACTAACTTGTTATTCCATTATCTTATGTTTAGTCTACAATTAGATTTGAAAGGCTTTCTAAATTACACGGTTAATAAACATGAGCTTTTGGGTACAATCTGCATAACTTGCTCAACAGGGTGTTGTAATCACTGTCTGCAGTGTATAGAACTTGTAACTTAATGTATTTGTATAAATTGGGGGGTTAATTTTTTGCTTGTGCACATTTAATAGGAGATTTTTAAAAAAAAAAAATTTCACTATTTCATCTGCTAAAACTTTGTCTGTTTCTTTTGCTTTGTTGTTTTAGGAATAAATTTGTTGAGTTTGATATGAAGCCTGTCTGCAAAAAATGTTACGAGAAGTTTCCCCTAGAGTTGAAGAAAAGACTGAAGAAATTAGCTGAAACTTTGGGAAGGAAGTAAAGACTTCATCTGCTCTCCTCTTCATTGTGAAAATCTTATAGATACTACTTGTGGGGTAGGGGGGAGTTGCTGCTTTGAGGCTGCAGTCAGACAACAGATGCTGATGCATGCCTTTTATCAACCCAACATATATTAAGATTCTCTCTTCTCTATACATGTATGCTTACCTGTTGACAAACAGACCATACTTCCAAAATAAATACCAGCTCACTTGAAAGGTTTCTGACCAATAATGCCATTGTACCGATGCAGGTGGCCCATTCTGCACACTAATTCTCTGTGGAACTCTTCAGAGAGAGAAAATTTGCTTCTGCACACAAACTTTGCAAATGTGCCCAACTTTAGGGATGTGTATTGTCATTTATGTTAGTGAAAATATTAACCTTCATATTAAGCATGCAGACAAAACTCACCCAGCTCAAGTGATTTGGGCAGGAAACCAGTACACTTTGCCTCATGGAAAAATTCACACTTGGATTTCAGGCCAAGTCACCTCATTAAGGAGCCTTATTTGAGATGGTTTGGAAACGATCAGATTTCTAAATACATCCACTGTACAGATGACATACATAAAGTGATAAAAATGACAAATTATGCTTATATGATGAATGTTTCTACATCAGGCTTAGCATGAGATACTTATATAAAAAATGTATTCCTATTGCAAGAAACGAGCATACTCAGAACTACTTGAATTTTGCTATATTCCACTTAAAATAACACATTAACTTCTATATATGCTTTTGCATTCTATTTACTTTTTGTGCCTTATTCTGCTGGACCATACATAACAGTATACCATTAAATATATATAGTTTTATATTTTATTTCATATTTTTATGCAAAAACTATTATAGAAGGTATTTTCAAAAGATAACATACTTTGCCTTAATTATACAGGATGCAAGAAGTATTTTATTTGAAATGTGAACATCTGCATTTAAAATCTAGCTTCTAGACCTCATTGATTTTCAGAACAATACTGAAAATGCGTATTTCAATTAACTGGCAATATTACTTTTACACCTCTGTGTGTAAATATGCAAGGATTGATCCTGCTAGGATCTACTTCTTTAGCCATCCTCAAGGACTGAGCTTACAAATAATAAAAATTCTTTATAACATACATTTAATTGTTTTATACTATTGAGTTTTGTCCATGCAAATTTGTTTTTATTTTTTCCTTTGTTATAGAAAATACAGCTACTTAGGTCTTCTTCATGGTACGAAGTATGCAAACATTTTTTTTTTACTTTTGTACATTAGTGACTTAAACAGATTTTCTGTAATTATGTAACAGGAAGTAAAATTTTCTTTCCTGTTTATGAAAAATTAGTTACTTTAAAACATCTGCTTTCCTGTGTCATCAATAAAGGCCATGTTATTAAACCTTGTATTGCCTCTCTGAAATAAATGCTTGAGATGGGTGGGAAAGCAGTAAGGCTCTCTTGGGTCCCTGAGCTTTTACCCGTGACTATGTAAATACTTCCTTATTATCCTAATTTAAAGGAGACATATGCCTTTCCTAAAGTTTTATGTTTGTATGTAGTTCTAAGGTTCATAAAAGAAACCACAGTTTGTTTCATAAAGAATAGCTTGATTCTTCTGGATATTTTGTGAATTGGCACAGGCACTAGGTTTTCCTAAAGAATCTTGTCTGAGTGTAAAACATATACCCTCCTGTTAACTTTTTCTCTCCTGTTTTCACTGTAATGAAATTGTCATTCCAAACTTTCAGTTTATTGCTAGGTATGGCATTTTTTGGCTATTTCATCCTACATAATCATTGAATGCCATAGCATTCATAAATGTAGTCAGTCCCTGACCCTGCTGAAGACTATACAAGCTTAAAATGTCCTCAAAAATTGTTTACTTAACAATTTATAGTAGCTAGTAGGCTACTAGCACAGTAGCCCTGTTGGAATTTTGGACTGTGCCGTGCATTCAGTAGACTACACACACTCTTGCTTCCTCCTGCAGTTATAACTAACTTCTAGGTTTTCATGTTACACTGACTGTACATCTCCTCCTTCAGCCTGCGTGCCCAGCCTTACTGCTTAGAGTTGGGAAGGGTCACTAGCCCCAAAGCTGAATGACAAGACCTGGCTCATATCCACATTGCTCAGGGTTATATCCATCTGCAGCACAGTGACCTCAGATTTTCTCTGGACTCTGGTGGCCCTTGGGGCCTGGCACAGGCTGGGTTTTTCCGTTTCCAAGTTCCTGATGGTGAATGCTGTGCTACTGTTCACCAAGGCAGCACCTTCTGTTTCATGAACTCTAGTGTGTGTATGTCAGACCCCACGATGTAGCACTCAAAGCATCTGAGGGTACTTGAGGGTTCAAAGCCTGATGAAGTATGGAAAAATGTTGGATGGAAGGGACCACTAGAGATCAGCTAGCCCAGCCATCTGCTCAGAGTGGGTCTAACTTCAGAGTTGCATCAGTACAGAAGGTCTTGCTTGGCCAAACTGAGAACATGCAAGGAGATTTCACAGAGCTTTTTGTGGATGTTCCAGTGTGTTCCAGTATGGTCCAGTGCTTCATCACCCTCGTGGTGAAAATATTATTACTGGAGTCCTATCTCAAGTGGAGTGTTCCCCAAATCCATACTGCTCTCTTGGGAACGTTGTCATGAACTGTCATTAGTATAATACCCCTGCACATGGTCATGAAGAGGATTAGTTAAAAGCACTGCAAAGCAGAGCCAGGGAGCAAGCTAGCAATTAGGCAGCCTGGACAATTACACGTCTGGTGTTGAAGCTCACTTCCTGGCCTGAAGTATTATAAATGTTTGAGTAGCTGCACATAATTTCCTAAAAGATGCAGAGCCTAGAACTGTTTTTCTATCCATGGTCCCTGTAAGGTCTGTCAAGGAATCCCTGAGCCTGGGATTTGGGAATGGATGCCTCAGAAGCTTTGTCCCTTTCTGCTGCATGGATCAATTATCCACGGGCAGGAGAGGTTCCTTTAGAAAGGCTGGCCAGGCTTTGACAGTAGGGAGCCCTGCAGAAAGCCCAGTGGATGTCGCTGCCGGGGGAAGAGCTGAGCCTAAAGCCTTTCTGCTGCCGGCGGTGGCACGTCCTGTGCCCAGTTCCAATGAGCGCAGTGAGGCCGCAGGGACAGCTCTGGAGCCAGTGCTGTCCTGCCCGCTGCTGCGACCACCAGGGACAACACAGGGAGTGCCACTTCTACAGCGCTGGGTGAGACTGACCAGAGCCAAAGTACTGGACCTGGTCTATATGAAGGCAATTTTCCATGCCTCCCCATCAGCTGAAGTGCAGAAATATTCTCCAGTGAGTCAAGTAAACTCCAATGTTCCTCTCTGCACCAACACTTCCATTACTTAGCCTGGCAGGTGCAGATAATAAATTTTTTGATAATCCCAGCTGTAGGCACACCATTAAAAGTACAGAGAAAAAAATTTTTTTTTTTGTGGAATTAAATAAATTAAATCCAAATAAATCACCATTAATACAAAAAAGAATAAAAGAGAGGATTAATTCTTTCAGTCAGGGTCTTAAATGGATGTTGCTGGTCTAAAAGAAAAAGTTGGCTATGTTTCCTTATTTTTCCTGCAAGAGGGTAAGAGCTGTGGGGCTGTCAGTATATTTTAGGTGTAGCAGGAATCCTGTGACTGTCAATGGATTGTTTGAGATTGAGAACTGGAGAAATTTTTAATTACACTTCTTCAGAGACATGGCCCAGTGGCCTCATTTTGACCAAAGCATCTGAACTGGCAGGAAAGATGGCTAATTCCAGTGAGTAGAATCTGAGGCTTCCTGCTGGGAATTTCACCACAGGACTCATCCTCAAGCCACCAAACCTGTAAAACTACAACTTGCAAATCTGTCCTGCCTTGAGGGTTGCTGGTCTATCTTTTAGTCCATGTTCCCAGCTGTGTTTTAGAGCTTAATCGTTTAATTATACTATCCACAGTGCCTGGAAAAAAAAAGTTTCTCACTGCAGTGGCTACAATATTTAGAGACTCATTTTCTAGAACATTGGCTCTCAGTAAGAAGGCCCTTATGCTTACAGATTAAATTTATAGTTCCTCTGAACTACAAAGTCTAGAAAAATAGAATATTACAGGTTGGAAGGGACCTTAAAGACCTAGTCTTTAATGGGGGACACTTCCCATTAGGCAGATTGCTCAGAACTCCATCCAACCCAGCCTCAAAAACTGCCTGGGATGGGGCACCCAGAGCCTCCCTGGGCAGCCTGTGCCAGTGCTTCACTGCCATCACAGTGAATAATTCCTTCCTTGTATTTAACCTAACTAAACTGCCCCTCTTTTAATTGTACCCATTACTCCTTGTCCTATCACTACAGTTCCAGACAAAGTCCCTCTCCTGCTTTCCTGTAGGTCCCTCAGATACTGGAAGGTTGCTATGAAGTAGTTGTGGAACCTTCTCTTCTCCAAGCTGCACAGCCCCAAATTCCTCACCCTGTCCTCGAGGGGGAGATGTTCCAGCCCCCCAAAGCAACTTCATGTCTCTCCTCTGGACTTGCTCCAACAGCTTCACATCCTTCTTATGGTAAGGGTGCCAGAACTGTTACTTAGCTTTAGGTAAAACCTTGTTACCTATATATATATATATATGTATGTATATGTGTATGTGTATATATATATATATGTGTGTATATATATATATCTTTATATATACGTATATATATCTTTATATATACACATACACACGCACATATATATATACACACACATATACATACATATATACATACACACACACATATATACATATATATCTACATTTACAGAGTATATTATTTAGGTGATAAATATATTATCATCATATATATTTTTATATATTACTGAGGTGAGTTTATTGTATTTTTAGTTGAGAAAACGCCACCACTCGCTCTCTCACAGTTTTCCATGACAAATTTCCCCCCCCCCGGTGCCGGTGCGCATGCGCAGGCCCGGCCAGGTCCCCGCCTCCCCCCGGCCGTTGGTATGGGGGCGGGAGGCGGCACGCGCTGGGGCTGCGCGCGCCGCGTGGCTGAGCGGGAACTTGCGTAACGCGCGGCGGCCGCGTCGCTGCTGCGCTTCCTTCCTCCTTCCCCTCCGCCTTCCCCTCCGCAGGCGCCGGGCCGGGGCCGCCGGCCGGCCGGGAAGGCGCGTTCTGCCGCCACAGAGGCCGGGCGCGGTCTCCGCCGCCGCGGCGGCGCCATGATGAGGCGGACGAAGCCCGAGGTGGAGCGCTACGTCGCCTCCTTGCAGGCCGCGGCGTCGTCGCCCAGAGAGGTGAGCGCGGCCTCGCGTTGCCCGCCCTGGCCGAGCCCGGGGGGCGTTGCGGCCGCTCCGTGCGGCCGGTGCGGGGCCCCTTCCCGCGCCCGCCCCGCGTGGGGCGCTGGAGGCCCTGCCGCGCGTCCTGAGGGAGCGCCGGCCCCGCGCCGCGGGGAGGCCTCGCTGCCGCCGGGCCGGGGGGCGGCTGCGCTCGCTGCCCCTGCGCTGCCGGGCTGCGGGCGGCTGCTCTGCGGGCTCCCCGCGCCGAGCCCGGCGCCTCGGTTTAGGGGCTCGGTCTGCTTGGCCCGTCATCATCCTTGGCGGTAAGAGGAAAAAGGATCCCTCTCTGGAGGGATGTCTTTCTGGAGATATTCAAACCCCACCTGGACGCGCCTGTATTCCGTGCCCTAGATGACAGGCCCGGCCAGGTCCCCGCCTCCCCCCGGCCGTTGGTATGGGGGCGGGAGGCGGCACGCGCTGGGGCTGCGCGCGCCGCGTGGCTGAGCGGGAACTTGCGTAACGCGCGGCGGCCGCGTCGCTGCTGCGCTTCCTTCCTCCTTCCCCTCCGCCTTCCCCTCCGCAGGCGCCGGGCCGGGGCCGCCGGCCGGCCGGGAAGGCGCGTTCTGCCGCCACAGAGGCCGGGCGCGGTCTCCGCCGCCGCGGCGGCGCCATGATGAGGCGGACGAAGCCCGAGGTGGAGCGCTACGTCGCCTCCTTGCAGGCCGCGGCGTCGTCGCCCAGAGAGGTGAGCGCGGCCTCGCGTTGCCCGCCCTGGCCGAGCCCGGGGGGCGTTGCGGCCGCTCCGTGCGGCCGGTGCGGGGCCCCTTCCCGCGCCCGCCCCGCGTGGGGCGCTGGAGGCCCTGCCGCGCGTCCTGAGGGAGCGCCGGCCCCGCGCCGCGGGGAGGCCTCGCTGCCGCCGGGCCGGGGGGCGGCTGCGCTCGCTGCCCCTGCGCTGCCGGGCTGCGGGCGGCTGCTCTGCGGGCTCCCCGCGCCGAGCCCGGCGCCTCGGTTTAGGGGCTCGGTCTGCTTGGCCCGTCATCATCCTTGGCGGTAAGAGGAAAAAGGATCCCTCTCTGGAGGGATGTCTTTCTGGAGATATTCAAACCCCACCTGGACGCGCCTGTATTCCGTGCCCTAGATGACTGAGGCGTGGCACGGTGTTGGACTAGATGATTTCCAGAGGTCTCTTCCATTCCTGACTATTCTGATGGTCTGTGAGTTGAGGTGTCTTTGGGAGTATTTCTGAGCGCGTAATTAGTCAGGGTCTCGGTAAGTCGAGTGAGGGAGGGCCAAGGTGTTTGCATACTGGAGGTGCTTTCCCTAACTGGGAGCAGTAGTTTACTAGGGCTGTGCACCTGTAATTTACAGCTGGCAAGCCCTGGTGTAGTTTAGAGTCCATGAGTTCTCGGACTACAGACTTTTTCACTTTTGTAAGAATTTAGTTCCTGTGTTTCCCGAGTTTCGTTTCTCAGAAAAAGATTGACCGGTTTCACTTTCTCAGAAGAATCTAACCAAGGAACACGTGAAGCACTTTGTTTTCTTTTATGTACTATGTATTTTTATGTATGTCATTAATATTCTTGTCTTTATAGTAGTAGGAGAGGAGGAGGAGCTGGGATAAAATAATCTTTCTGTTACCATTTTTCATTGTATCTGGAAAAGGATCTCAGTGAGCAGTCTGATGTGATTCAGGGGAGCTATTTAATCCTGAAAGATCCTGTTCTACTGCTCTTGAATTTTTTTTTTTTTTTTTTTTTTTTTTTTTTTTTTTTTTTTTTTTTTTTTTAATTTTTTTTCTTTTTTTTTTTTTTGTTAGAATATTCAGCACTATGTTGTGTAGTGTGAATACATCCATGTTCAGTGTTATGCAGTAGGGCTTTTGTGCGGGCCTTGTGTACATCATCATTATTTGTATCTCTTTCCCAGCAGCAACAAAGTTGTTCTGTGGTTTTATTGCTTTGGGTGCCGTTTAGGGCAGACAGTGTCCAGGGCATTACTGTCAGAATCATAGGTGCTCTTTAATTGCTTGGTGTTTCTACTGAACTCAACAACAAAGTAAATCCTCTCCTGTTGTGCTTAAGACCAGCTGTGCGTATTTACTTGTTTAAGTTTTTCCTTTTTTTTTTTTTTAATAAGTAATGCTTACAACTAATTGTATAAGCACAGTCATTGGTGGAAAATGTTACTGATTTTCCTGTTGTGTTGATTTTAGGAGAGGAGTGCTTATAAGGCTGCAAAGCATTTATGTTGTTTCCTTTCATCAGTGTTTAAAAGAAGATGTGAAATGCAGCTCCGCGCTGACATGCTTCAGTGTTTCCCTTTTACAGCAGGCTTCAAAAATACAGTCTGGAAACTTGATGTGTCCTGGGAGGGCTGCTTTCATTTTTCACTGCTTCTTAAAATTTTGCATGAATAACAGTGGTGAGAGAGGGATGGAGACTTACAATTCAAGTGAATTCAAAATATACAGACTTGTTTGCAGTCATAGATGTAACTAGCTCTAGTATTTGTTTGTTCAAAAGCAAAATTGTTTTTGAGCTGATGTTGAGAACTCAGGCTATAATTTTGTCTGGTTTACTTGTACCTTTTTGCTTGTAACTCTGTCAGTTCTTTAACTCACTCCTTTCACTTTTCCTCCTGATCATGCTTCTGCCACCTTGGCTTCTTTGTTACTGCCTTGTAACAGGCAGATTGTTTCACCTCTTGCTCCTGGGGTGTGTATGCTAAAGTTATTTTAGTCAGAAATCAACTACTGCGTGAATGCATTTCTTACCCAAATGAGAATGACTTAAGCAAAAGTTGCTTTTTCCTCAAGTATACTTAAACAGTAGCATCTGATGACAGTACACTACAGTAGGGCTAAATGGCAGATCTCTCTTGATTTGTGGAATGTCTTTTTTCCTTGCTATATTGCACAGTATATATACACAATAAATGAAATGTAGATGACACAAATCTTCCACTCTCTTTAATGAGTAATGTGTGAACCATGTGTATAAAGGCTTGTTTTCCTCTTTTGTAATCTCTATCTTCCTAGTAACCTTTTTATAGCAAAAAAATCTTATTCTTTTCATTCTTAAACCTACATCTTTCAGAAACAAACTCATATATGATGGGTGGATTTGAGCTGATAATGAATTGTCAAATTCAGTCACTTGAGTATTAGGCATTGCTGAAAAGAAAGGTCACTTGTTAGGGAATTACTGTTGAAGTACCAAATGTCTAAAGTGTGTTTGTCATGGTTTTTCTCCTTCAGAAATCGATGAAAGGATTCCTCTTTGCTAAGCTGTATTTTGAAATTAAAGAATATGAACTTGCTAAAAGGTAACCTGCATTGATGGACATTTTTTTTTCTCTAAATATAAAAGAAAAGCTTTGTTTTTATGAAGTAGACCAGAGAAACCAAGATATATCATGCTACTTTAAGCTAGCAGTCAATGTGGACAATGAGTGCTATTTAGGTCTTTGTAAAACAATAACTTAAAAGAAGATAAGCTATATGGTACTGAAAAAACAAAAAACTTACCTGGCTGAATTGTTTGGTTTTTTTTTGCTCATTGTATTAAGTAGTCCTTACCATTTCTACAAATTCCTGCTTTTGTTATTTTAATCAACAGAAATACTGGCTGGTGAGTAAGTAGCATGTGTACAGGTATAAACAGTATTGCTGCTTACTTAAAGGTCCTGACAAAGTGTCTGGAACAAAACACGTCTATACTTCTGTGGTCTGGCCAAAGCATCTAGAACACAATGTGTCTGTGTGTCCTGTATGGCAGATAAAGCTGCCATTAGAGCTTGGGTGGGAGGGGGAGTATTAGTGAAAAATACTGGTCGCGTAACAGACCTTTTCCCCTTCATAGATATATATCTACGTACCTCAATGTACAAGAGAGAGATCCCAAAGCACACAGATTTCTTGGACAAATCTATGAAGCTGAGGATAACATAGAAAAAGCTTTTGGGTGTTACAAGGTAAGTGCTACATTCAGGTACAACCCCTAATGTTCTGCTTTATTCCTTTATAAAAGGACTTCTAAAGCCCTTCTGTGGCTGAACATTCTCAAAGCCATAGAAGAAAACATGCTCCTGGGAAAATTGTGTCATAGACGTTTGACAATGGAAAGCATGTGAACCACTGCAGACAGGATTCTTCACTTCATACCGCTTGCTTCCGTAGTGTATTTTGAAGTTGCTTCTTTCGTTTTTCTTCTGGACTTGATTTTGTGCTACCTGCTGTTAAATTCTCCCCAAGTCATGCGTGTACAAGCCTCTTGTACTACTGCCATAGAATTCTGTAATGCAAACTGTGATGACAACTGGAGTTTAGTTGCTGCTAGAAGACTGTAGGCTTACTGTGTTTTTTGTTTGGTTGGTTTTGAAGAGGGCGGGTGCAGAGGGGAGGGACAAATCTAATTTTGATTAGGCAAACATATTAATGTCAAATTTCCAGTTGGGTTGCCTTTGTTCTGGTTTGAGAGAGAAAGATGTGTTCAGAAGTCTGGCCAATACAACTCTATGCATGAAGTTCTATCACACTTCTTAAACTGTCTTAATTTTTTTCAAATTTTTACACCTGGCTAGACTGGAGGTTGTTATAGTCCTGTTGTCTGTGTGTAGCAGTAGATAGTGATAGACACAGAGGAAATGGTTTGCATTATTTCTTATGATTTTGTGAATTTTAGCAGTTCTATTTGGGTGCTGTAAAGTAGTGGTAGCATGTAGAAAGGCTTTTCTTATATACTCTGTATTTATAGATTTAACTGATTTGAATAGCTGGGTATGTTTGTGGGGGTGTAACTCTTACCTGTTGCCTGTTGTACATGGATCATAAGTTAAAGTTCCCCTTTGTTTTTTTTAAATCCTGTGTCTGCATGGGGAAAAATAGCGTTCTGTGGAGTTGAACCCAACACAGAAAGACCTTGTATTGAAGATTGCAGAGTTACTATGCAGTAATGACATTACCGATGGAAGAGCAAAATACTGGGTTGACAGAGCTGCTAAGCTCTTTCCTGGGAGCCCTGCTATTTACAGGTTGAAGGTAAGTTCAAAATTACCTCTGTTCAAAGGCTTGAACAGACTTTCAGCATCTGTCTGGAGTGTCTTTTGCATGTCACCTCAATTGAAACTCTCACTAAATTATTTTACTGTCTTTAATATTAAAACTAGATGTTACTCTTTCTAGTCTGACATCTTTGTCCAGTTTCAAAGGAAGCCACAGCTGCATGCTTTCATACCCATTCTAATGTTTGAAGTTTAATCGTCTTCCAAAATGCTGAGAAATTATTTATCACAGTCAAGAAGTTAAAGGCTAGATAGGTGTCATTTGTTCTTTCCATTGTGGTAGGAAGGTAGCCAATCTGTGAACTCGGACTTTCTTACTTTACACTGTTTTTTTTTGTTTTTAAATCTGTATTATGGTCATTTCTGTAGAGTGTGAGAAATGCTGTAATTCTCAAATACCATGTAAATACTTTGTGCCATGCAATGTCACTTTTGCACAGGTATGTTCATTTTGTGTAGCTTTTTAATTTTGTGTAACTTTGGGCAGCAGCTACATTGAAGTCTCAAAGTGTCTGGGTTTTTTTAAAGCAAGATAGTCTATGGCAGGGTCTGTTGTCACTGAACCAAATGATTTGAGAAGCATTTCTCTCTCGGTAAGAGGCAAATTCTTCTGAGGACTTTTCTTTTGTGATAGTCATATACATTTTTAAATATTTGAGTATTTAATCAAACTTTATGTAATACCTGAAAGCTATCAAGAGTACTCTAGCTAGAGCGATGTAGTCTATGTAGTGAAGGAAAGAATGATACCTAGTACTGTAGTTGCTCAAAAAGACTCGTGGGAAATGAAATATTGGTATGTTGCCCTCATGTTTCAACAGGAGCAGTTGCTGGATTGTAAAGGTGAAGATGGGTGGAATCAGCTTTTTGACTTGATTCAAGCAGAACTTTATGCAAGACCAGATGATGTCTACATAAACATCAGACTAGTTGCGCTCTATCGTTCAAATAACAGATTAAAGGATGCTGTGCTCCACTGTCAGGAGGCAGAGAAGAGAATACCTTTGCATTCAAGCTTGGAATGGTGTTCCTGTGTTGTAGAGACATTTGAGGTGTTTAATCATATTTTGATCCTGTGGTAGTCTTCCGTATCTTTTTACCTGGTCTATTTCTCTTAGTGTCCTTATTCTGACAGCTATTTCTCAAGGGATTTAACTCCTTCAAATGCAAGTCTACTGAAACCAGTGGAACTACAAAATACTTCTTGTATGGTTTTTTTTTTTTTTAATTGGAATTTTCTCCCTAAAATTAAACTTTGTAGAGCTATTGAGTTTCTGACTTCAAAAGCTGAGTTAGACACAGCAGTTCCATTAGGGATAAAATTGCTCAAGCAAGTAGTTCCCTGGAACTTTGCTGCTGAAGAATATGTTAAGTTCTCACCTGTGAAACTGGATTATGCAATAAATGCTACTAGTGTGTTTTGGAGAAGTACTGCCCTTGTCTTCATGGAAGGATGACTGTTCCTTATCCTGTGATGAACTTTCTTCTTTAGGAATATCTGGAGTCTTTACAAGACTTGGAGTATGATAAAAATAACTGGAGAACTATCAAGAAAGATCATCTGCTGGCCTATTCCAGCTTTGTCAAACTGACACTTTCTTCTAGAGATGTTCAGGAATGCAGAGAAGCACTTGAAAGGTACTGTTTAAACTTTTCTGTAGTAAGAAAAAGCCCTCTAATAATTGTTTGGGGTCACATAACATCTGCCAAGCTTCTGTTTCACAGCTTATCTTGTTTTTGAATGGGAGAGGAGAGTCTCTCTACTGACCACCAAGAGTGTTTCTTACTGAGTGTGAACCCCAAGCTATCTTTTGACAGATGTTTGAATGGTCAGCACACAGCCATGGAGAAGACTCATTTATATCTGGGGTCTTTTTTTACCTTCTTTTCCTTTGGTTAAAAAAGTTGTTCCGTACTTCAGCAATTGACTAATCCAGATTTCCCAGACAATTGGAAAATTGGAAAATAACAAAAGTCAAACTGAAAAGCCAAAACTATCTCTTCTGTGTCAACTTGGTCCTAGTCATTCTATTATTAAATAACACAGCGCACTGGACTAATAGGAACTTCATGTATATAGTATAGTGGGGAGGGAGGAAACCACCTGAAGCAAGAATAGCCTCCTTCAGAGAAAACTGGTGGTGTTACAGCTGGCTTAAAGGCTTACCATCTGCAGTGCACCTAGACTAGTACAAAATAGTGTTTTTAGTCAATAATTTAATTAAGATTTGTGTTTCTTTCTTGCCATTATCTTTCCTTTGTTACTGGTTTTTACTAACTTATTGTTGTTCCTCAGTAGTATAATGGCTGTTATGTTGCGTTCTGTAAAAATATTGAGTCTGTTAATCTTGTACGGGTATTTGAAGCAGTACAGAATGGATGAGCAATATTTAATACCCAAGTATGTTTTATTTTATTTTTCTCCTCTAACATTGAACATGTTGGATTTTCTGATTCTGATTTATTAGAGTGCTTTGAGGTGTTCACATCTGAAGCATTTCTAGATCATGGCAATGCTAACAGCCATTATAGTCTTCCAGTAATTGAAAAATTGTTTTAACTGTTTTCTGGAGGCCCTCTCCTGAGTGGGGCTTGTATAGTAATCTAAAGGCACTAGAATTTCTGTAGTACCTTTGAAGAGCTTGTTAAACAGTGTTTTGGATCTTTCTGATATTGAAGAGAAAGGGCAGAATCAATAATACCTCCTGTATGTCTCTAAATCTGCAGTAGTGAACAATTTTATCCACATGGTTCAGGACAGTAGTTTTAAAAGTAGCTGTGCAAAAATGTGATGAAAAAGACTGAGTATCTGGGTAATATTTACTGAACTTGAGAACTTTGGCAGTTTGAGGTGATTATACTTTCTAGTAACTTGGGTTTAAGCAATTGAAACAGTACTTACCATTGACTCATGAAGTTACTTAATTCACAATTAAATAGCACAAACTAAAATCAGCTGCTATAGCTTTTACCAGGACTCTGTTTAGAATTAGTCTTCTCTGCATTTTAGCTTTGATCGTGCACTTCAGTCAGTAAAACCATATGTGAGTGCGGCTGACGAGTTGTCTCGTACCTATGTGGAAATGAAAGGACAGCTCTACATGCATGCTGGAGCTTTGCTGCTGAAAATGGCCCAAGACAATGAGACACAGTGGAGAGCTATGTGTGAACTAGCAGCATTGTGTTACCTCCTGAGTTTTCAGGTAAAGGTAGTTTTCAGTCTTAAGCCTTCAGGTGATGCCTTTCTTGCAATTTTCTAGCTGTACATGTGTTGAATTCCTGTATTCCTGAGATGAACTAGTGTTTGTGTATCTAAAGAACTCTGTCCTCACTCACCAAACCCTCCTCTGTCACGATTGTTTGAAAGTTTCAAATGACACAAATAGGGTAAAGTATACCTTCAATTGTTCCCCTTGCCACAGTAACCTGATTCTTAAGTATTAGTGCATTTATTGCCTGCAGTGTATTTCCTTTTTTGTAATACAAGTACACATGTTGAGTGTTAAATTTTTAAAATTTAATTTTTTTTTAAAAAATCAAGGTTCTTTGTCTTGACTGTCCTTTTTATACCATTGCTTGTATTTCAGATATTACTTGCTCTTGTGTACACTTAATGTTACTTTCAATAGGTATACTTGCACATCTGTGTACTTTAGGTGTGTTCTCTGCTCTCTTTGCCCATCCCACACAGAACCACAACCCAGTATATGTACCTTCAAAATGAATAATGCCTGTTTTCCTCTAGCTTTCTAATGCTAAAAATAAGCTTATTTCCTAATTTCTGAGGTTCATTTAAATGTCCTGCTGTTACTGTGAAAAACCTGTAACAATTTTCTCCTTACTTCACCAGGTTCCTAAACCAAAGTCAAAACTCATAAAGGGGGATCAAACCGGACAAGATATGCTAGAAATGCTGGCCTGTGATCGAAAAAGCCAGTCTGGTAATAAAAAAAATAGCTGCATAGTTCCATTTTATAAAGTGCTGCAGATTTACTGTAAAGTCTAAGATTTGTTAAAGAACACCTTTGTGTATCTTGTAACATTATCAGTCCAATATGTAGTAAAGCCTTATAGATTATGACTACATATGTAAAACAAAACAGTAGTTTGGTTCTGATGCCTAGAGTTACTTTTCTCCTCTTAAGCTGCTGGTAGAGTATGTTCTCCTTGTTTCAATAGCGGTTGGGTTTTTTCCTCCTTTTTGACTTTCTAGTGCTAAGGTAGAATTTAGCTTTTATTGTCTGTTAAATCTACTGGAAATGGCTTCTGCCTGCTGATGCTATTTTGCAAGTGTTGTTAGCCCCAAGAGGGAAAGAAAATATTAGTTTGTTTCCCTGATCTTTTCATCCTTTTACTTGTTCATGAGCTTTGTTCTTTTTCCTGCCAGGTATAGACAGTGTTTCATTCTACAAAATTCTTGGAGGGCCTAGATTAAAACAGATGAAGCTGCCAGACACCAGCTTCATTTACTTGAATGGATTTCATTACTGCAGACTTCTGCTTGCATTACAGCTATAAGGTCACTTGCAATGCCCTTAGAATAATCATGGTAGGAGGGCTTTGTTTTCCTAAAGAGGTGCATTTACAAATTCTTTGGGGTTGTTGTCACTAAAAGCTTGGAAAGCCTGTGTGCTGAAACACTGACCTAATTACAGGGAGAACATACCTGAACAGTCTGTAAGTTTCATAAATGAAATCCTGGTTCTCATCCAGCCTTCAGTAGCAAAGCAGTCCAGCATAGCAAATAATGCTTTCCTTGTGTTTACTGCTTTATGTGAAGTGATATTTTTGTTTTCTAGGTCATATGCTGCTGAACTTAAGTCATGGCAAGCAAGACTTCTTTAAAGAGATTGTGGAATCATTTGCAAACAAGAGCGGCTCATTTGCATTGTTTGATAGTCTGTTTGAGAGCGGAGCTTCTAGAGAGAGGTCTTTTATTGGCACAGATGATATTGGAAATGTCAGTACACAAGCCCCAGTGCAAATAGAACTAAACAAGTACGATATCGGTAAGAAGTGTTACTTTCTGAAACGCAACACAGCTTTGCGTACCGTAACCTCTTCTGCAAATACTTGTGGAAGAGGTACTGGTACATAAATACTTATACTGCAACGAAAGACAAATACCTGGAATAGTTGTCCAAAGTTGCCTTAATGTTATAGGAAAGACTTATACTTTATTGCAATCTAAAGAAGTGCTTCTTCAGTAATTCCTTAAGGATTTTTGGAGAAGTAAATAAGTTTGCTAAAATTAGTTATCTATTGGACTGAATAAGGTGAGAATGGAGATGATGAGAGTCACCCCTCAGAAGCTTAAGCAGTTGATGGCTTTGAGCACTTAGATGAACTTGGCATGTTTGTCGGTACTGAAGTTTGTAACCCTTTGTAAGTGAAACCTGGAATCTTGATGCTCATTGGTCTTAAAGTATCTTTGGCCCCTCTGACAGAGTGCAATGTGAAACTGAGCTTTGATCAGATAGTAGTACTGAGGGCTCGCAGGAAGCTGACATTTGCATCCAACCCTGTTTTTTGCGCAGGTGCCATTCGATTGCACAGTGGCAGTCTCCAGCACCTCGTGTGGCTTGGCTTGCAGTGGAACTCTATGTCAGTCTTGCCCCCCATGCGCAAATGGTTAAAACAGCTTTTTCACTTGCCCCAAGAAACATCAAGACTTGAGACAGATGCTCCTGAATCTATTTGCCTATTAGACCTTGAAGTAAGTGAACTTTCAAGTTCTTTAAGGTACCGTACAAATTAAATTTTTTGTAATTAATAACTTTATTTTTTAAAAACAGGTATTCCTAATTGGAGTGATATTCACTAGCAACTTACAACTGCAAGAGAAGTTTAATTCTCACTACAGTGCACATCAGCCTCAATTCTTACCACTGCCAATATGCAAACAACTCTATACTGAGAAGCAAAGATCCTGGTGGGATGCTGTTCGTACTCTTCTTCAGAGGAAATCAGTGTAAGGCTTTTTCAGTTTGGAAGTGTTTGATCAAGCCTTTAAGGGAGTGTGTGCTACAGCAGTTTGGATTGTCCCTATAAATTCTTGTAAAATTATTTTCTTTTACTTATTTTTTACATTGAATCTTTTTTGTAGTAGGGACTCTATGCTTCAAAGATTTCTGTAAAGGGAATTTTCATTTCTAACAATGTATTTCTTACCTAGAGGCAAATTAGGACTAAAGCTGCAGGCTGTATTCATCAAGTGAATGGTATGTGAACAGATGAAAACCACAAAATACTAATCAAGGAATGTTTCTTCTGATATTCAGACCAGGAACAGCAGCAAAGCTGAGGCTTATTGTACAGCATGGCATAAGTACTCTGCGAACACTGGACAAGCATGGCCTTCAACCTGCCTTAATCATACACTGGGCAAAAAGCTTGCAGAAAACAGTAAGCTGAGATTATTTTTAAACACATGGAAGCAAAAGTGTTTTTCTAATTTTATCAATTATGAACAGGCTGAGGGGATGGGAGATGGGATGAATGTGTATTATTAAGAACAGCTCATTATTTTATCAGGCCAACTTATTGTTCTAGTCACTCTATGAAATACTCTTGTCTTAAACTGTAGTTTATTTTCTACTTTTATGTTACTTAACGTAGTACTCTGCTTAATGTCAGAGAAGGACTTTGGAACTCTTAAAGAAAATAGGAAAAGGATATGTAGGAATAGCATTTTGACTTGCATTTGTTGAAATAACATCTGCATCTATTCCCTTTTCTTCACCAGGGAATTAATCTTAACTCCTTCTATGACCAGAAGGAATATATTGGACGAAGTGTCTATTACTGGAAGAAAGTTCTGCCTATGCTGGAAACTATCAAAAAGAAGAGGAGTATTTCTGAACCTACTGATCCTCTCTTCAAACACTTCCACAGTGTAGACATTCAGGTACAGATCAGTTGAGTCAAGGCTGAAGAGAAGGGTCTGTGTCAGAAATGTACGCATAGTTGTGGGATTTTTGTCTACATTGTACTATTCTATGTTGTTACTACTGTGAAACCCTTAAAGGTGAGATTTGGTAATAGTGTTTTATAAAGGGGGAAAATTCTCTCCTTGTAACTTTGCTCTTACCTTTGAAATGGTATTTGTGATTTGAAAGCACTGAACACCCTCAGTAACAACTTTCTTGAAAAATAATTCCTCCTGTGTTACAGAGAAAAAGGTTGTCATTCCATTGTTAAGTATAAGTTTTCCTTCACTTTATTTGTAGGTCTTTCAGGTTGCAGCATATGAAGAAGAGGCACAGATAGCATTTGCTATGTTGGATGCAGTTGATGGCAAAACTGATGATGCTTTAATAGCATTTGAAGCTATTGAGAATGTGGTGTCATACTGGAATCTTGCCATGGTAAGTTTGTAAGTTGCGTTACCCAGAAGTGATTCTCTTTATTCAGTTTCCTTCTGACTGATAGTATTCACTCTGCATCCTGTTCTTCAGATTTTCCAAAGAAAAGCAGAAGAGATTGAAAATGATGTCGTGCTGCCAGAAGAACATGAGGAGCGTAAAACTTACCTTCTTAAAGCCAAGTATTATCTAATGAAAATTATTGCGGAAAGCTCCTCAGATATGTCAGTTACTGAGAAAGTAAGTAATTCTTGCTTTAAAAACTTCTTCCAAGGTATGCAGTAGCTTAGGTTACTGTTTGAAAAATTAAACCCTTTGCATTCAAGGTATTTTTTCATTCCAGGCTTTCAGGCAAGTTAAATTCTGTGTAACTTCTGTAACCTACCAGGTCATGTAGTGTCCTGGCTACCCTGTGGATGAAAGCTTTAATGTGAACAAATAGCTTTTGCCACTGTCTTTTAGTTTGATAGTTTGAAAAAATAAAATAGTTTGTGTGAGTTGTTTACTTACGTGAATCCTAACAAGTTAAGAGCTTTGCTGAAAAAACCCCAGTGCTTACATAATGAAAAGACTTGTGAATTGCTCAGACAGAATTCTAAATGTAGTGTGTCTTGTTCTGAGGGAGAATTGCAGTCATGACTCATGTTTGAAAAACCTTTCTAGTTGCCAGTGTCTCTTGAAACTGTGAGAGAAGTGTTAGATACAGTGATCCAGGAACTTGGTGAGAACTGTGAAGAGGGAAGTCTTGCCTTCAGAAACGGTCTGTCACGAACTGTAGATTCAGCAATGAAACATTCCACTCCGTCACCAACCAAGTTCTCTTTTTCGCCAACTAAGACCTACAAGGTATGTTAGCCAGTTATTATTTCAGGGAATTGTTGTCTTGTAAGAAAAATTCAAATAAATCAATTAACTTTTTTTTTTTCCTAGTTCTCTCCAAAAACTCCCCCTCAGTGGGCAGAAGACCATAAATCTATACTTCAAATGATTTGTCAGCAAGTGGAGGCTTTAAAGGTAAAAATTCTGTAACCATATTCAGTAATGAACTGTTGGCCTTTTAGTTATGGTAAGGATCTAGTGATAAGGGCATGGGTGAACTTAGAGTTCTGAGAATTAATTTCTTTAAATAGCTGCCTAAAATGAGTACCAGAGTAAATTCTTTCACTAAAAAGCTCCTCTTTGGGACTTGGACAGGAGTGCTGAAGCAGCCCATCTAAGGGACTCTTTCTGTATGTAGAAAGAGTTCTGCTTTTATCAGCTTGGTTCTCCACTTGGTTCTGGGTTTTTTACTGGCTTGTTCTGGCTTTAGAATGGAAGTACTTTTTACTCCATGGGCATGTCTTGCATGATCTAGCAGGTACTTCTTAGTTGTTTTGTTTGGCTTTTTTTTTTTTTTTTAATTACCCCCAAAACTTTGGATTGAACATGCTTTTGATTAGCAAAAGGGTGGCAATTGTGCCTTATATTTTCTTGGACAAATACCTGTATAGTTGATGCTTATACTCTTGCTTGGCACCCTGTCTCAACAGAATGAAATGCAAGAAATGAAACTTAATAATTCCAACACAAATGCATCTCATCGGTGGCCTGCTGAAAACTATGGAACTGATGCAATACCAGATAGTTATCAGAGAGCACAGAATCTTCATGAAGCCCCCTTAACAGGCAAGTTGCTGCAGAATTTTTATCTAAATGCTTAGCTAAATCAAATAAGACTTCTGAAAATAATGCTGAAATGTTTTAATGATTCACAGTTAAAAAACTGATTGCTGAGAGGAGTATGTAGGAAATAACAACAAGAACAGATAAGTGTTAACTGTTTTCCTGGTGTTCCTTTTTAGTTGCTACCACTGGCCCATCTGTGTTCTACAGCCAGTCACCTGCCTATAACTCTCAGTATCTTCTGGGAACTGCTGCAACCAATGTAACACCAGCAAAGGTAAGAATAAATTATTTCCTTAAATTGCTTCCAATGATCTGAAAATGACTGACTGGTTTTGATTCTGTACACAGCTGGATGTAATTGCAGTTCCTTATGCAGACTTATGCAGAATTTGGTCAACTTAAACTACTAGGGATAAAATTATAATTTGTCTCCCTGCTTAACCTCTGGGAGTTTGGGTGGGAAAGCTAGAAAAATATGTGTGTGCATTTATCCTACAGATATGTATGACAGCACTTAACTATTGTCCCCCTTAATTGTGTGGCAAAAGAAAATGGCAGTTTCCAAGCTTTTTTTCATGAAAAACCCGCTCATATTGTGCCTCTTTTTCAATGTTTGTTCTCAAATGCCCATAAAGTTTTAAACTAAGGTAAAACTGGTTTAGGTTTAAAGTTGAAAGTGTGCCTTTCTTTTAAGAGTACATGTTACATGGGCTTCAGCCATGTAACAGTCTTCAGCTTCAGCCCATGTAACAGTCTTACAAAATCAGTAAGGTTTTGTCCATAATAAGCAGAGCACTTTGTTTTCTGCTTTTTCTTTAGCCTCCTGTCTATGGCATGAACCGACTTACGCCTCAGCCACATATATATTCCTATCAACCACCACCCATGCATACGCCACCTCTGCAGAACACTTCTGGTTGTATGTTTTCCCAAGAAATGTATGGCCCGCCTCTACGTTTTGATTCTCCTGGTACTACACTCATTTCTCCTCGTACTGCTGATGACTATTACAACTACAGTGTTCCACAGGCAAGCACCAATCCAACACTGCCTAAACCGGGGTATTTCACCAACCGTTCAGTCACGCCACCCACCTTAAAGCCTGCAGAACCAAAAGCAATGCCTAAATTTGGACAGCCAGGAACAGCAGAAGGATCAAAACCACCTCTGTCAACACCAGCACAGCCAAGTCAGCCAACAACTTTTAAATTTAAACCTAACTTCAAGTCTAATGATGGGGACTTCACTTTTTCTTCTCCCCCTCAAGTTGCACCACAGCCCCTTAATGCACCTTTTAATAGTAAAGAAAGCCTCTTGGATCTTCTAACATCTGACAAACCTTTACAGGATGATAGATATGTTGATCAAAAGCCAGTTAGCGATGCCACAAACAGTTCAAGAAATATCTTCAATTTTAGCAATAAACATGTTCCAGGCATCGCTCTCCGAGAAAACACAGGACAAAATGTACACAAAAATGTGGGTTTTGAGAAGAGTGATACATTTAGTGTTCAAGAATCAAGTAAGCCTGTATTTATGGCTTCAAATTCAGATTTGGCCAATAGAAGTCATGAAACAGAAGGAGGAAGCACCCATGGTGGAGATGAGGATGATGATGGTCCTCATTTTGATCCTGTGGTGCCACTTCCTGATAAGATTGAAGTAAAGACAGGTGAGGAAGATGAAGAAGAATTCTTCTGCAACAGAGCCAAGCTCTTTCGTTTTGATGCAGAATCTAAAGAATGGAAAGAAAGGGGTATTGGAAATGTGAAAATACTGAAACATAAAGTATCTGGCAAATTTCGTCTCTTAATGAGACGGGACCAAGTGCTGAAAATCTGTGCAAATCACTACATAAATACTGATATGAAATTAACTCCAAATGCTGCATCAGATAAGTCATTTGTATGGCATGCTTTAGACTACGCAGATGAATTGCCAAAACCAGAACAGCTTGCAATTAGATTTAAAACACCTGAAGAAGCAATGCTTTTCAAAAAAAAGTTTGAGGAAGCACAGAATATTTTAAAATCCTTGGGATCAAATGCTGACACGTCTGTGGCTCAGAGCAGTGGGACTGCAAAAGAAACAGCAAATCAAGACACCAAGGAGCCCAACAGAACCACTTCTGGGACCATGAACTTGGGCTTTCAGTTTCTAAAAGATGGAACAAGCGGTGAACCTGACAGCAAAGGCACCCTTACAGCTACATCCGCTGCATCTAGCACTACCATTTCATTTGGGAAGGATGCTCAGCAAGCCTGTTCTTCTGGTGGGTTTGGTGGGTTTGGGCAGCATCTCTTGAAGAAGGACCAATGGGAGTGTAAAGTATGTTTAGTTCCAAATGAAGCAATGGTAAAGAATTGTGTATCATGTCAAAGTCCAAATCCAGGTATGTGGCAAACACATAGTACCCCTATGACTGGCTATGCAAGTTTGAAACCAAGTGGTAACACAGTGCAGGACAAGTTTGGCTCTCCTTTTGCTAAAAAGGAAGGTCAGTGGGACTGCTCTGTATGCCAAACCCAAAATGAAGCAGAAGATGTGAACTGTTGCTCCTGTCAGAGTCCAAAACCTCAAAATCAACCAAATACATCCACACCTTCTGTTCAGGCATCTGCTGCTCTGGGGCTTGGTTCCATTGCTGATACAAGTAAACCACAGAAAAATGGGTTTGAAGGGCTTTTTGCTAAAAAGGAAGGTCAGTGGGATTGTAGTACTTGTCTCGTGAGGAATGAGGGTTCTTCGCTAGCCTGCATAGCCTGCGAAACGCCGAATCCATCTGCTAAGCCAACTGGTGATACTTTGCCAACTCCTGCTTTTGGCTTGAAAAGTAAATTGCCTGAACTTGATGGAGGACAGTTGGGAACAGGCTTTAAGTTTGGTCTTGAGCAAGGCAAGACACCACCATTTACATTTCAGATTTCTTCTGATACTGAAGCAAAGTCTGCAAAGGAAGGATTTAACTTTTCAATGCAAATGCCTGCAGGTGGATTTAAATTTGGGATACAGGAGTCTAGTAAAAATACCAGTAAGAAAGATGAGCCATCCAAAGAACATACAACTGGTTTCTTAAAAAGCGTTGATGAAAAAGACAAAAAGGAATTGCCTTCAGACAGTGGAACTGGATTCCAATTTCAGGAAACAGCAGAGAAGGAGAAAATTGACTTTGTTTTTGGGCAAAACAGCAGCACTTCTACTTTTGCTGAGCTTGCAAAAAGTACTCCTAGGGAAGGCTTTCAATTTGGCAAAAAGGACCCTAACTTCAAAGGCTTTTCAGGTGCAGGTGAAAAGTTGTTTTCTTCACAAAATTCTAAAACAGATCAGAAAGCAAACACATCTGCTGACCTTGGTGAGAAGGATGATGATGTGTATAAGACGGAGGACAGTGATGATATCCATTTTGAACCTATAGTTCAGATGCCTGAAAAAGTAGAGCCATTTACAGGAGAGGAGGATGAGAAAGTGTTATACTCACAGAGAGTAAAGCTGTTCAGGTTTGATCCTGAAACAAGCCAGTGGAAGGAACGTGGGGTAGGCATTCTGAAGATTCTTAAAAACGAAGTTAATGGCAAAGTAAGAATATTGATGCGGCGTGAGCAAGTACTGAAGGTGTGTGCGAATCACTGGATAACGACAACAATGAACTTGAAACAGCTGTCTGGCTCAGACAAAGCATGGATGTGGATGGCCAATGACTTTTCTGATGGTGATGCAAAGTTGGAACATCTGGCAGCAAAATTCAAGACACCAGAGCAGGCTGAGGAGTTCAAACAAAAGTTTGAAGAATGTCAGAGGCTACTACTAGATATACCACTGCAGACGCCCCATAAACTTGTTGATACAGGTAGGACAGCTCAGCTTATACAGAGAGCAGAAGAAATGAAGTGTGGCTTAAAAGATCTCAAAACTTTTCTGACAGATGACAAAACGAAACTGTCAGAAGAGGAAAGTGGTGCTGGTACAAACCCTGTCTGTACCAGCAGTACTTCTGATTTGGTTATAAAGCCACATGCTGAAAGTACAGGCCCTACTCTGGAGTGGGATAACTATGACTTGCGTGAAGAAGCATTAGATGATAGTGTAAGTAGTTCTGTATATGCATCACCTCTTGCAAGTAGCCCTGTAAGGAAAAATCTGTTTAGATTTGGAGAATCTACCACTGGTTTTAGTTTCAGCTTTAAATCTGCTTTGAGCCCATCCAAATCTCCTGCCAAACAGAATCAGAGTAGAACATCAGTAGGCACAGATGAAGATTCTGATGTTACTCAAGAAGAGGAAAGAGATGGACAGTACTTTGAACCTGTGGTACCTCTGCCTGATCTTGTGGAAGTGACCAGTGGTGAGGAAAATGAGCAAGTTGTCTTCAGCCATAGAGCCAAACTATACAGATATGACAAAGATGCAAATCAATGGAAGGAGAGAGGGATTGGGGATATCAAGATATTGCAGAACTATGACAACAAACAAGTTCGTATAGTAATGAGAAGGGACCAGGTACTAAAACTCTGTGCCAATCACAGGATAACACCAGATATGAATCTACAACAAATGAAAGGATCTGACAGAGCCTGGGTATGGACTGCATGTGACTTTGCAGATGGGGAAAGAAAAGTAGAACTTCTGGCTGTACGGTTCAAGCTGCAAGATGTTGCGGACTCATTTAAGCAAATATTTGATGAAGCAAAGCATGCCCAAGAGAGAGAGACACTGATAACACCTCTTTCTTCTCGTGCCAATACACCAAAGGAATCTCCATGCGGTAAAAATGCTGTAGCTGTGCTAGAAGAAACAACCAGAGAAAGAACTGATGTCAGCCATGGTGATGATACTTCTGAGGCAACTGTAGAGGCTGCAGAGGTGTCAAATACTTCTGAAACACCAACAAAAGCAGTTGTTTCTCCTCCAAAGTTTGTATTTGGATCTGAATCTGTCAAGAGCATTTTCAGTAATGAAAAGTCAAAGACATTCACATTTGGAAATACTTCAGCCACTGGTTCTCTCTTTGGCTTCAGTTTTAATCCCCCAAGAAAGAGTGAAGGCCATATTCCAGCATCTCAGAACACAGCACAGAAAGAGCCAGAAGTCTCTGAACCATCAAAAATCTCAAGTGCTACTCAGAAGCCTGTAGACAGCAAGGTAGACAACTTGCCAGCTTCATCACAAGATGGACCATCTAACTTCTCATTTAGAATTCTGGAAAAAGGTATGAGTTTTACTAGTAATTTATTCAAGTATGCAACTTACTAAGCAGTCAGCTCTCTGCTATTCATTATTTATTCTCTTGAGAGTAGATAGTATCTTTCAGTTTTGATGCAGGTATCCACATGTTCTCCAGAGGTTCAACTAAAGAAGGTAATTTTAAGTCATAATACTAATTTTCAAATACAAATGAAAATGTATGATGAAGGATGGAAATTTGTTTACTGAGAACAGAGTTTTCAGGTAGAGAGCTTAAACTCTGAAGTGCTGCATCTGAATCTTCGATTTAAATGCTCAAAGAATTTGTGGATTTGCTCTTGGGACTTAAATAGGTAGTTGATGTTGTATGTACCTGGGCCTTTGCTCTGAGTGGCCAAGTGTGAGAACATCAGATGTATGCTTCAGCTAAAATTTGCATTATCCCCATAATTAAGTAGATGGGTATTGTAAAACTTGTCTATACCTTTGTTTCAAGTGTTAAATACTGGCCTCTGCAATTTTGGTTGTGCAGCTTAACATCAGGTGTCAGCCTTCTTCCTTAGCCTGAGAAGAGATTGTGGTGCCATACTCAGTTGTATGGTTTCTCTTAGAGTCTGGAAAAGTTGCACAGGCAGAAGCTGTGGCTGTAACCTTACAGGAGCTCTGTAATGTGCTGAAGTGTCTTTGTGAGAAGGATGGGATGTCTCAGAATTATGAACACATCCTGTCTCTTTATTAACTTAAGTGTAGTAAAGTGACATGGCAGAAGATGATAGCTGCAGTCCATTCACATGAGTTGGATAAGCTTCTGTAGAAACAGATGAAATTTCCTGCTGCGAAATATGACTATGGAATACTTGGAGAACATAGATAAGTCTGTTCTATCCTTTTAAAATTCCAGGTAAACACTTCTGTACCAACAATTTATTTTTTTAGGATTTAATTTTAGCCTCTTTAAATCTAATCCAATGGCCTTTTGGACAAGCACATCCTCCATGCAACCTGATAGTAAAGGTATTTACACACTGCACTGAATGTGTGATAAAAACACTCTAGCAGGCATGGACAATAACCCAGCTGGGTCAAAGCAGCTGGCTCAGTAATCTTTATAATTAACATGCATGCTGAAGGAGGGTACTTGAAATTGTGTGTCTGACTACTCAATTTGTCCTGTTAAAGAATGTCTCTAGCCCTTTGTATGTTTACATGAGCCAGCACAATGGATGGCACTGTTTAAGCTTTTGGCTTCTGTTTGCCTTATTTTTTGAGGATATGTGCTCTGCACTTCTTTCATCACAGTTTTACTATGCGTGCACACTGGATCTCTTAAATTCCATTTTTCTAGAGAAATTACGTTTTTGTTTTCAGAGAATGTCTTGTGGTGCCCGACGTAGAATCTCTGTGTCGATGAAATAGTCTGAAGATCTTGAGACAGATTATTCAGTGAAGAGCTTGAATGTATTTAGCCTCTGTGGAAATGTTCTCTTCAGTTTCCCAGTTGTCAGTGTTAACTGCTGTGCTTTTATAAAGAAAGAGTGCACAGAAGTGCGAGCCACCTTCATGTATAATCTGAAGTCTACTTTAGCTGGTTAGAAAACTTCTGCCCATTTATAACCAATTTGTTCACATTCAGACCCTGTAGACAAAACTGTTACAGCTTATAGTTTGATTATATGTTGCTACCAGTGTGCTGCTTGCAAGTATACTTGCTGTAAGCATGCTCAACTTGCACGGTTTTAAAAGTATTTTAATTTTAAATAACAAACTTTTAGTCTGCATAAGACAGTCTTCCAGTATTAGTGTCTTACATTGTTTCAATGTGTCAAAATATCATTTGATTAGCTGTTCTTACTTGAACATTGAATTCCTGTTCTGTGTACATAACCTAAAGTCACTTGCTCTGTGTTTTCAAGCATCTGTGTGGATGGAGTGTATGAACAATTCAGTTCTATTTTCATAATACAGTGTCCGTAATGTGGAGCGATTAATCATTCTGCGCCAATGCGCACATGCAAGAACTTTTTCTACCACAAATTGATCATGGTTTTATATTGGGGCATAGGGCAGGGGGTGATGTATTTTAAATACAAACAAAATAAGCCTTTCTGGTACTTAAGACTGTTCTTCACTTCTACTTTTCTAATAATTAGGGTATGATTATCTTTTCAGTGATTTGTTTACAGTTGGTAATTGCCTTCAGTGTAACTTTTTGGTCTTTGATACCTGACTTAATAGTAAAGGATTTTGAGAAGTCCTTCCTAAATTAGGTTTTCAAGCCTATCCAATACAAATATGATAGGAATGTTTTTTAAGGGGAACTTATTTTGGGGAGTGGCTCCTGAGTTGTGCTAGAAAAAAATTTAAAAGAAATTTAACCTCAGTGGTTCTGCACCTCCACGCATTTACATTTTTCTCAGGTCAGGTCATAAACTTCTTGTAAGTTCTTATTCTAGTTTTGGCTGGGATAAAGTTAATTTTTTCTCAGTAGCTGGCACAGTGCTGGGTTTTGGACTCAGTGTGAGAACAATGCTGATTACACACTGATGTTGTGGTTGCTGCTATGCAGTGCTTATCCTAAGTCAAGGACTTTTTTTTTTGTGTCATACTGTGCCATTGAGGAGGTACACAAATAAAAGCTGGGAGGGAGCTTTGCTAGAGCTCAAAGTGGCCAAAGGGATATTCCACACCATAGAACATCATGTCCAGTTTATAAACTGGTGGAGTTACCTGGAAGAGGGGCCAGTAGGAGTGTGGGAATGGAGTCTGGCATTGGTCAGCAGGTGGTGAGCAGCTATATTGTGCCTCACTTGTTTTTCCTTGAGTTTTACTTTTTCATTTTAATATTATTATTTATTATATGTCACTTCTGTTTCAGTTTCTAAACTGTTCTTATCTTCACCTACAAATTTTACATGTGATTCTCCTCCCCATTCCACCAGGTTTCAGGATGTGAGCCAGCAGCTCTGTGGCACTTCATTGCCAGCTGGACTTAAACCACACCAGTGCTTTACAAGTTTGAGTCATGTCAGTTGCAGGCTACTGTACCTGTTACATGCTTTAGGGTTTTTAAACTGGTGCTTTCCTCTTATATTCAGAAGATATTCATTGATCAATACATGAGGGGCAGTATCAGTATTGTGACTAGCTAGCGATTTAATGTCAGTTCAATCAAAAGTGAAAATACAGTACAGCATTGAAAAGAGCTGTTGTGCATGATATTGTCCTGAATTTTGTTTCTTCCATATTCTACTCTGGGTGAAAAAATCTACTCAATTGTTAGTAAGTTCTGTTATCCCAAAACCAGGTCATTTTAGAATACATTGTATCTATGTGTGGCGGGTTTTGTTTCATGGCTGCCTATGAAGATAAATATTTAAGGTGTTTGTCACAGTGATCTTTGTTGTTGAAGTCTTATCATTTTGAGTAGATGTTTGGAACACTAGAATATTATTCCAGTGTTTGATAGATCAGGTTCAGTGAGAACTTTACCTATTGACTAATCTGAAGTGACCTTAAATGTATTTCTCTTACTCAGCTATTTTGCCCAAAGGGTACTGAAAGAGACTGTATGATAACTCTCTTTAAATGCTGTCAAAACCTGATGAGCAATGAGTGTGGTAAAACACTGGAACAGTGTATTTGTTGCCATGGCTTCTAGCTAGTTTTCTACTGCTCAAATTAAAGAAAGCGCATACTTTTACCATCTACCTGACTTGAAAGAAGTGTTTTGTTATATTCAAAGATACATTTTTGAAAATTTTGTGATCCTAAGGAAAGCTGCTTCTTGTTGTAGGACTAAATGTTCCACACTTAAACCTCAGGTAAACTTGATGCAAACTTAGTCCAATTAAGACACTTGCTTAACTAACCGGAAAGAATAAAACACATAGTAATATGCAGGATATCTGCGTATCTTCATAACACAGTACTAGATGTACTTCTAATCCTTAAACCAGCTAGTTTTTTGGACAAGATTCTGAGAAGGTGTATGAAAACATGTATGTCTTGCAGTTGTGATATAAACTTAGAAATTTGCTATTCAGGAATTTTATCCTACACTTACTTTCTGCAGGCTCAGAGAACTTACTGAGATCTAAAAATCTGAGCAAAAAGAATTAGTCTAGGAGAGTGCCAGTGATGGGTTTGAGTTACTTTGTAGCTCTGGTGTATAAATGCCTGAAATGATCAACCTGTGAACAAAGGTGAGGCAAAGACTGGAGAAGTAATACTTCGAAAAAATACATAAGTTTGAATCGGTACTTGGGATTTTGCTGTTACTTTACTTTATGCTGTTCTTAATCTACTGGATGATTAAGTAAAAAATAAAGAAAACTGCTTTTAATAAGCAGACTTATTTTAGTGTGTTAGTTGTCTCAGAGGATCAAAGGACGTGTCTGTAAACATGTCTTCTATGTCCTTTTCTCCTTTTGCAATGATAAGTTAAATTGTATGATCAGAAAAATCGATGTTTTTCAGGAACTGGGTACTACTTTTCTGCTGGGTACTGGTTTCTAGATGGATATTTAGGTTTCCTCTGATTACACTGTGCCACAGACGTAGAAAATTATTTTTTTAATGAAAAGCACAGCAAGATGTTGAGACCACCCTTCAGATACTGACTAAATTACGTCTGAAGAACAGATAATAGGGTGTTAGCAAATAGGCTGAGGTACTAAAGCAATCATTCTGTTCTTAGAAACAGCTATTGTGGCTATTGATGTGCTTATGGGGTAATTCTTAAAAATAATTTACAGATTTATTTCTTAGCCCTTTATCCCCAAATTCCCCTTCTCAAAACAGCCTAAACAAGCAGAACCCCAACCGAACCATATGTAAGGTTTAAGTCGCTATATCCTCTCTCTTTGCTTCCATTCTCTCATGATAAACTCAAATATTTGTTTCCAAAGCTGTCTTGCAGCCATATATTTTATCTGCAGTTTGCTCTAGGCTTTACTTTCACTTTTAACCTTTGCACTGATCATGCATTGTTCTCAATACTGGTGGAAGGAATAACTTAATGTTGAAGGCGGGAAGGAAAAATCTAACTGATGGTGATATTTCTGTGCTGCAAAAGCTAGTTAAATAGACTGAAAGCAATGGTTTTGGTTGTTTGATAGTGGAACTAAGAATTACCTTACTTTTGTAACAATCAAAGTTTCAGCAACAGCTATTATGGTAAATTTATTGTTAGCTAATAAAAAGCTCAGCTATCCCATAAGTAATCTGAAGTGAATTCTATTCAGTTGCTTGGACAGATTGTTGTTCATAACTTCACTTTTTTTCAGGCCTGAAGTTTGCTTATTTACCTCTATTGGTCACCTCTGTCACTCTTCTCTGTAGCTGTCTCTTATTTGACATGAGGACTTACTTAATTACTTACTTAATTAATTCTTTTAATAATATAAAGATGCAGCCATGTTTTGTTTTAATGCTTCAATTCCAAAAGCAATAGAACAGTGTGTAAGTTTTGCTGTTATGTCCTTGAATCCTGTAAGTTTGATTTTTCTTTCCTGTCTAGCAGCAGAAAATATGTAGGCCCTTAGAATTAATTCAGTTCTGTAATAATGTGGGGTTAATGTTATTTCCTGTTCTGAAATTATTCAGTTTTAATTGTTTGTTCAATTTCTCTAAAAAAGCTGAGAAGACCACAGTGTCAGAGGATGTTCCATCTGATGAAGTTGTAATAGTTTACGAGTTAACACCTACCCCTGAACAGAGAGCTCTTGCTGACTTCCTCAAGCTCCCTTCAACATTCTTCTGTTACAAGAATAAGCCTGGATATGTGAGTGACGAGGATGATGGTAAGGAATGCCAAAATTTGTATTTCTACTGCCTTTTTGTGGGGAAAGGGTGTAATACACTGCACTGGTGCAGCCCCACCTTGAGTGCTGTGTGCAGTTCTGCTGTGTAAGAAGGATATCAGGCTGTAGGAGGGTGACCAAGGTGAACAGCCTTGAGTGCCAGACTCAGGAGGAGTGGCTGAGGTCACTTGGTTTGTTCAGCTGGGAGAAGATAAGGCTGAGGGGTGACCTCATCACAGTCCAAAACTTCCTCAAGGGATCAGCAGAGGAGGAGGTGCTGATCTCCTCTTCCTGATGCTCAACTATAGGACACAAGAAAATGGAGTGAAGCTGTCAGGGAAGTTCAGATTAGGAAAAAGTTTTTCTTTGAGGGGGTGGTCAGGCCCTGGAACAGGCTCCATGACAGCAGTTAGAGCAACACACCCATCAGAGGCCAAGCAACGTCTGGGTGATGCACTTAGTCATATGGCTTGGTTTTAGGTAGTCCTGCAAGGAGCAGGGAGCTGCAGTTCGTGATCCTTCCAACTTGAGAACTCAGTTAACACTGTTACTCAGTTAACACTGTTAGAACCACTGAAATATTTTTGTGTGGGCCAGTGAGAAGTAATCATGTCAGTGTCCTTATAGCCAAAGATGTACACTCAAGTCTCCAAAACAATAGTATAGCGGAGGCCCAGGAGTGACTAAAGGGTATTTGTTTGGTCTATTATGGGTGCTGACATCATTACCAAGGCATTTGTTTAGGTAAGAGGTATTTGAGCAAGAGACCTGCTTTAGTAAGTATTTTGAGACAAATAGAAGCATTTTTTATTAAAAACAGTCTAAGGTTCCCTAAGCGCTATAGTAATGAATTATTTTTCTTCTAAAGCAAATTCCTAATACTATTAGTGAACTTACTTTGTCAAACCTTACTGCATGCAATTAAGATTTATTTATTCAGCAGCAAATACTTTAAATGGAAGTTCTGAAATACTGTATTCACCAGAAAATGGGAGAAGACAAGCCCCCTTCCTCCTTGAGCTAGCAAGTTTTTATGTAAAAAATCTTCAGTCTTCTTTCCCAAATCTGTTTGGTGGTAGTCTTAGTAAAATCACTCAGTAAGAAATAAGTTTTCTAAAAGCAAAACCTGTGCCATGTATCTGTAGCAATCTAGGCTGAGAAAAAGTGTTAACAGCACTCTGGAGCACATGTAAGCAAAACTAGGAGTGACAGCTTACTTGTTGACTTGTGTAACTCTTAAAATATAAGCAAAAATTTCATATGCCTGCTAGCCTTGTGAGTTGGAAGGGCTTAACAGACTTCTCTGACCAAGAGTGTGCCTGAGAACTTACTCTTTTTTCCTGTGTTTAAGATGAAGACTATGAAACAGCTGTTAAGAAACTTAATGGGAGGCTCTATCCCAGTGATTCAGAAGAGAAAAAGAAAGGCCAAGGTCCCATAAAAGGTATGTCTTAAGAAATTTTAATTGTTGTGCTTCATGTACTGAAACATAAACTCTGAATCTGAAGGACACATGGGCAGAGGTTAATTTTATGTTTCCTGGGATGGCTTTTAGAAGCAGAGATGCTGGGTGCAGAAAATCTGCATCTCAACGTATGTTAAACTGCTGGTTAGCAGTAAAGGGGTACCTGAAAGAGAAATGTACATTCTAGGTGATCTCTAAACAAGAATATCAAAGTCTCTTCCTATCTTGAGCTCCTTCTGAATATGAAAAATTTGAAAAAATCAGCTTGGCATGATACTGCTCAAGAGAAAGTTGTCTACATCTTTGAATACTTGATACTTCTGCATCTACATCTTTGAATACTTGATACTTCTGCAGTTACTAATTGAAGCTTGTGAGTTAACGTTCACTCTAAAATAAGCTATTTGGTCTCTATACTAAAAATACAGGTGTAGACAACTTGCTGATGTGTGTCTGTGTCTCAGACTGCAGTGTTACATTATTTGAAGGTAGGTACTTCTAGAAGTAAAGTTTGGGGTTTCTTTGAGGATATGTGCTAGAAGGATTGATCCATCTGAAATATGAGGAGATACTGAAGGAAGTTATTAGTAGTGGCAGCTGCATGATTAAATTCTTCATCATTGCATGGAAATTCCCTGATAACAGTAAAAAACCACAGATTATGTATTTTCAATTCTAGTCACTCCAGGTTAGGTTAGTCTTCACTTCCACTATTTAAACAGTAATGCTGTCTGTGAAGCTCAGGAAGTCTGTCTTCAAGTTAATCTGGCTATTATGAGGTTAATTTATGATGTCAGGGCTAAAAATTATTTCAGTTATTTTCCATTAATTCTTTACAGCAGGTCTTGCAAAGAAAAGTGAATTCAACAAGGAAAGAGAATGTGCTGCTACTTTGGAAAAGAAACCAGCTCCTGAGGAGAAAGATGAAATAAAAGCTCTGCAGGTTCCTTCTGCATCTGTTTGTGGTGTCAGTACTGATACCAAAGGTGACCGTGTGGAAGACGTAAAGTCAGAAGCTGAAATTCAAGAAATTAAAGTAAGAGCTAAATCTTTACTCAACTTCTTGTTATTAAACTTGTACAATTACTTCATATATGTGTAAGACAGTACAGTTTTAGTTCTAAAGCATCCAGTGGGGAAAAATTGAGTATTTTTGTAGCAGTGCCTCAAGTGTATGCCAACATGGGAGATTTGATTTCAGGAAATAGTAGTAGTTTTTTGAAAACAGACTATTTCAAAGATACTTCAGTCTCTTGTCAAGTTAACATCCTTATGTGTTAACAGTAATGAAAAACTTCAGAAAGCTTACAGCAGTTTTTCTTGGTGTTCTTTATTTTTCTATAAGAACTGTTCTTAGACTCCTGGGGAGGAGGTTTGAATCCTAAGGTCTTCTAACTTATTTACATATTACATTACTTTTTTGATTAATTGCAGGAGAATGAAGTTGCAAGCTCAAGTGACTTAGTCTGTACCAGTAAGGAAGAAATCCCCACTCCATCAAAAGATGAGGTGACAGTACTTGTCCAGTCCGGTACCAGCAGTGGAGAATCACATTCCACCACAGAAACTGTGCAAGTATCACAGACCTTATCACGAGCTGAAGACAAACCTGTAGATTTGTCAACTAAAAAGAGTGATTCAGATGATTCAGAGTCAACACAAGGTAAGATCAGGGGTATATGCTGAGGTTTTTTTGTAGGAAACTATGCTTTCCTGTGGATCAGTTAACCCAGCATAGTTGCTGTCTTGGGGAGAAGTAGTACCAATACTGAATTAGAAACATAGGCACTAGTCTGGTAAAAATGTGTATATATCAAATTTTGAGTTCAATTTTGCTACAACAAACCAATGCTAGTGTCTATTGTGTAATTTAAATACGATGTACTTTCATTAGTTTACTGTTAAATACCACATGAGCTCTGTGGATTGGCATATAAGTAGTATGCTGAAACTGAGTCTTGGGCCCATTTTTCAAACCATAGTAGATGATCATTACGACAAGTGTCATTCAAATTTTAAATTTATTGGGACAAAGAAATGCTGTAGACAGTTCTCCAGTTTATTCTTGTGACTGCATAAATGTATTTTCTTTAAGAAAGAGAGAAATCTTTGACTTTCTGCTTTTTATTTGATAGAAAACAGAATCATCTCATTTGGTTTTGGCAATACTGCAGGCCTGTCATTTGCAGATCTGGCATCCAAAAGTTCTGAAGACTTTGCTTTTGGCTCAAAAGGTGAGTTCAGCTAGTATTTGAGACAAACTTCAGCTGGACTTTTGCTTCATACAGTATACCTCCTGTGTACAAAATTTCTTCTGATTATTAGAAATAACAATTTTTTGCAAGTTTTTGTCAGGAAGAAAAAAAACTACATGAGTTTAAAATGTCACTCTCTTAATTGTAGATAAAAACTTCAAATGGGCAAATACAGGAGCAACTGTGTTTGGAGATACCGCCCGTAAAGCAGATGAGGATGAAGGTGGTAGTGATGATGAGGTAGTACATAGTGATGATATCCACTTTGAGCCAATTGTGTCCTTACCAGAGGTAAGATGATTTCTGGAATATAAAACAACATTAAGATAAGCATCTCTGCTAACACAGCAAGCTTTAAAATGTTTTACTTAACTAGCTTTGCTTTCTATGTTGTTGTTGTGCCTCGTTCTGCATGTTTTACACTATGTTGAAGCACCTGTTGTTTTAAATCCTAGTACAGCATAGCCCTGGGGAGGTGTCTGGTGCCTCAGTTAAATTCTTCAGGTAATTTCTTTGACTTAACTGAGAGTTGATGAGGATGGAAATTTTGTACACATAGCTTGTAAAAGCTAAACCATTTATATAGCACAGCTGAAAATCAGGAAGGGGAGCTGAATAACTGCTAGTGCTTATACAACTCAGCTATGGCTCTGTATCAGTGACCTGTAGATTCAGTTCTGTGAAAGCCATGCCAACTAAGAATCTTTAAGCTAGGCAAGAGATTCCTAGAAACACTAAGCAAAAAGATGTACAATTAACATCACCTGAAAGTTAAGGAACTAACTTTTTTAGTTTGAAAATAAATGGCTTTTCAGGAAGTAGGAGAACCTTCAACTTTCAAGGTAGCCTTATAACTTACTGAGACTTCACACAGTTATTCATGTCGTGATTTGGTTTTTAGCCTAGTAACCATTTCAGACTCTTTTGATGATATCATCATATTGCCTGACCTTTCTATAAATAATAAAATTTAACTATAGATTAGTAAAATTATTGAGCAAGGCAAATAGAGTACATAGGAACTGTATGTGGTGTCCTTCAATTTGAACAGCTGGTCTGATCTATTTTGTAAAGTGCCTTCAGCTTCCTTCTTGAAAATGTGGTGTGCCGTTGCTCATCTGTTTGTCACATTATGACTTCTATGATGCTTTTCTTCTCTGTTTCCCTTTTTCAGTTTCACAAATAGTATTTTGTCACACATTTCTCCAGTTCTCTCAAGTGTTCAATATCTTTGGAGAAGTGCTAAATAAAATGAAGAGTAGAGGCCAGTAAATGTATACATAAAGTGAGGTGGAGATACAGCTGTCATGCTGAAGTTTTGTATATTTGGTGTTTATTCTGTTCAAACGCAAATATCAAATTCTTACAATGTGCTAAAGATAACTCCTGGAATTGTAACAGTACTTTGTCTTCACTTCTCAGTGTGCACATCATTCAGCAAACCGAAAACTTGGGAAACTTGCCAGAACACTTGGTGTGTCCCAAAGTCTTGGGTTTTTGTTAAAAGAAAAAAAAACCTCCATAAACCATAAAGAAAATCCCACCAAAACCCAAGCAAGTAAACCACTCCCAAAGCAAAACCAACAGACACCCACCACAACTACCTGTAGCATGGTGAAGGAGGATTGCAGTGCTGTAATTGTTCTCAAATAGTGGAATTTGTCGGGCTCTTAAAATGTTTTACCTATTTTGGTGTGATGGAGTGTTGGTGAAAAGAACACACTGAATAATTTTCCACTGTAATATGTCAAAATCTTCAGAAGTATATGCAATAACTGTTTAATATCTTTGTAGGAAATCACAGGTTTTCAGTCTACTGTGCTGTTTTTTAGGTGGAGGTAAAATCTGGAGAAGAAGATGAAGAAATTCTCTTCAAGGAGAGGGCAAAACTTTACAGATGGGACAGGGATGTTACTCAGTGGAAAGAGCGTGGTGTTGGAGAGATCAAAATACTTTTCCATACACAGAAGAAATACTATCGAGTCCTAATGAGAAGAGACCAAGTTCTTAAAGTCTGTGCAAACCACGTTATCACCAAAGAAATGAACTTAGTGCCCTCTGATACATCAAACAATGCTTTCATTTGGACAGCCACAGATTATGCTGGTGAGTTTTTTCAGGTGGTCTTTGTTTTTTCTAGTGGTCTGTAGTTTGTGTTTTGTTTTTCCCTGGAGATTATTACAAGATTAAACTAAACAGACCTTCTTGGATTTATTTTCAGATGGTGAAGTAAAAGTAGAGCAATTTGCAGTCAGATTTAAAAGCCAAGAAATGGCCAATTCTTTCAAGAAGATGTTTGAAGAATGTCAGCTAAGCTTGTCAGAACTGCAGAAGGGGCCCTTATCTCTGGCAGCAGGACTGTCAAAGGACACCAACCCTGTTGTGTATTTTGAAGTTTCTGCTGATGATGAACCTTTAGGACACATAACCATGGAGCTGTTTGCAAATATTGTACCTCGAACTGCTGAAAATTTCAGAGCCCTGTGCACAGGAGAGAAAGGATTTGGATTCAAGAACTCCCGCTTTCACAGAATAGTCACAGACTTTGTGTGTCAGGTAAGTGTTAAAGGAGGACTCCTCACTGGGAGAATGAGATAATCTTGACTAACAATGGCACTTCAAAAACTTACTTATACAGAGTAGCACATTCTTGTTGGCAGCATGGATCCACTGTGCAGGATAGTCTCATCTGTCCTTTTCCAACAAGGAGATGAGAAATGGTGCAAGCAGTACATGCCATCTACCCTAAGATGCTTTTCACCTGTGTCTACCAGTGGCCTCATGCTTCAGTGTTTCTTAGTACTATCATGTCAGGGTGAAAGAAAAAAAAATAGAGGGAGGTGGAATCTTCTTACAATGAACAGGGGGCATGTTGCTGAACAGGAACACCAAGGAAAGTAGGTGTTCCCAAAACATTCATCCTTCTCTCTCTTCAGATGAGAACTTTTGTATGCTCACCTGTTGAGAACACTTACTTTCCAGGCTTCTCTTGGACTTTAAAGTACACTTTATATTTCAAATAATGTGCATTTTACAGCTGATATTTCAGCTATCACAGATGTTAGGTTTCAATCTAAAACAAGTCTTCTAGATCAATTATCATGCAGTGGCCTGTTTACTAAAATGCTAAGTTTTGTGCAGAGAGCATCAGCCTGAAGTGTATCTGTAACCCCTGGTAGACAGTGTTGGTTTTAAACCTTTGTGTGCATTCAGTAGCACTGGCAAGTCCTTCATAAAGGCTGAAGGCTTAGGAGATTAATAATAGCTCAGATAGACCTTTCTTAAAATTCTCATCAATAGTTCATTGAGTTTTGGTTACTTGGAACAGGCAAAATGAACCAACACCTGTACATGCTACGCTAATGATGTGCATGTCACTACATCTCCGAAGATGAGGCATGTAGATGACTCTACAAGCCCAGATGTATACAGTAATACAGGAGAATAATATGCAAAAGTAATAGGAAGGACATCAGCCTGTTGGAGTGAGTCCAGAGGAAAGCCAAGCCTTTTAAGAAGGATGGAGCACTGGTCCTATCAGGAAAGGCTAAGAGAATAAAATTTGTTTAGTCTAGAAAAGATGAAGCTTAGGGGTGACTTAATGGTGTCATTCCAGAGCCTGAAGGGAGCCTACAAGAAGATGGAGAGAAACATTTTACAAGAGCATGTAGTCACAGGACATGGTGGGGGGAATGGCTTCTAGGTAGAAGAAAGTAGGTTTAGACTAGATGTTAGTAGCAAGTTGTTTGCTGTGAGGGTGGTGGGACACTGGAACAAGTTGCCCAGAGAAGCTGTAGATGCCCTGTCCCTGTCAGTGTTCTGGGCCAGGCTGGAGGAACTCTGAGCAGCCTGGTCCTAGTTCTAGGTGTCCCTGCCCATGGCAGGGGAGTTCTAGATGATCTGAAAGGTCCTTTCTAACATAAACCATTCTGTGATAGCATATGAATGGCTTGTCACCAGAATGAAATATTAGCCTGTCTCTCGATTAGCTATCTACGTGTGTCTGAAGTATGCACTGCATGGTTCTTTTGTTAAACCTTTGTGCCTTTCTGATAAACTCATTTAGGATTTAAGCTTATTTCTGGGTATTCCACAGTCTAGAAAGGAGCAGACTTTCTTTTAAAACAGTTGACTGCACCATGTGTGCCTTGACAAAGTGAACTTTTATCACATTAAATGAGTATATTTTAAGTTCGCTCTGCTTTGCCTGGACTTTTTTGAGGTACAGTGAGAAGCTTTTGAATGAGAACTAAGGCTGTGTACTGATCAAATTTGCACTGTCACCTTTGTGTGTATATTTAAATTATCAGGAACCAGAAGTTTGCTACCTTCCAGAAAGCTGAAAGACACACTTACCATGCTGCTCAACCAGTTACATGGCAAAGCTGTATGGAATTACTGGTCACTGTTTTATTAACCTTTTTCAGGTGATGAATTCTGTGCCTGCAGGGACTAATTAAGAACAGGCCTTCAATAAGATAATGCAGTTTCAGGCAGCTTCCAGGGCCAAGTGATGCAGGCAGTAGGAATGACAGGCCTAGAGGAATGTCACCATGGGGAGCAGGAAGATAAAGTGCTGTGTTCAGAATAAACAAGGGATACACCTTTTACTACTGGTTCCCTTACCATGAACAAACCTGCTGAAGCTGGGAAGCCCTACATCTAGGCAGATATTGATACTTGTAAAAATTAGTTCTTCCAAAACAAGGTCTTTACTGTTGAAAGGAAGTATAACTTTTGGGTTTCTTTTTGGAACTTGTCAGTTAATGATGTGTCTGATTGGTTTTTTTTTTTTAGGGTGGAGATATAACCAACCATGACGGAACAGGTGGACGGTCGATTTATGGAACAGCATTTGAAGATGAGAATTTCATAGTGAAACACACCGGTCCTGGATTGTTGTCAATGGCAAATAAGGGCAGGGATACAAATAATTCTCAGTTCTTCATAACACTTAAAAAAGCAGAACACTTGGACTTCAAGCATGTGGTGTTTGGGTTTGTGAAAGATGGAATGGATGTTGTTAAAAAGATCGAATCCTTTGGTTCTCCTAAAGGGCTAGTAAATGGAAGAATTGTCATTACAGACTGTGGGCAAATATAGAACTATTTCTTTGAGTATACAGATGTTTTTGCAGTATAAATCAGTACTTAGATGTTATTGACTAATTATTTCAACTTCTTAAAATGGACACTTCTGATGTATAAATGTAAAATTACAGGCTATAGTTGAATTTTTTTATGTGTTCCAATTGATTTTTTTTGCATGGTAAATAAAGTTCAGGCACTGGCATATTTCAGGTGTATTTGTGTTATCCTGACATATTTGTAATAAGTGTCAAATTTTGAAAATTAAATCCTAGTCTTGTTAAAATAAATGTCTTGTCTTCACTTTGGTTTGTTTAAAAGATAACTTGCATAACTTTGTTCTTGCTCTCATGAAGCTCTTTTGAATGTGCAGATAGATGCAAATTGCTGAACAGTACACTGAAGGCCTTTGAAAGTTAATAGTGTGCAGAAAGCAGGCTGAGCCAGGTGGATGTTGCGTTGTTCTGTCTGCATAGCTTTTACATGATTGATCAATGTTTTGCTAGAGGAATATGCCAACTTTTTTTTTTTTTTTACCTATGTTGTTTCTAAGAAACTTGGCTTAATGAAAAACATCTCCTTAACTTTGGTATTTTACCTGACATACATTAAGTATAACGCTCTGACTCTGCTCAGTGTTTGTGAGCTGTGGCCAACTTCTCTGCCCTTGCTGCAGGCTCTAGCCTTGTGTATTCCAGCGTGCTCGTACCTTTGACAGCTTTGCCTCTCAAGAGTGAGAATGCATGGGTAAAGGTAGGGTGTATTTAAACTTACAGTCTACACCTCTGCTCTGGGCAACACACATTTAGTTTTGCTTTATTTGGGGGGTTATTTATTTTTAAAGGATGGCAGTAATAAGTCTTCAGGTGTCCTAAGGGACTATACTGCTCTCCACAACCAGTCAAAGGAGCCTGGAGCGGGGGCTGGTTTTGGCCTCTTCTCCCAGGCAGCCATTGACAAGACCATAGGACACAGACGTACACTGCAGGACAGCAGGAGGAAGTTCTTCCCAGGAAGGCTGACTGGGCATTGGCACGGGCGGCCCAGGGCCGTGTTAGAATCACCGTCGCTGGAGGTGTTTAAGGAGGTGGCACTGAGTGCTCCAGTTGCCAGGGTGCTCTCAGGCCGTGCTGTGCCGGGGGTGGAAAGGAGCGGTGTTTGATGATGATGATGATGTGTGCCCGCCCCGCCAGGCCCATGGCGGCGGCTCCCCCCGCCGTGCCCGCCCGGGCCGGCGCTGCCCGCGGCCCCGAGTGCGCCTGCGCGGCTGGTGGCGGTTGGTTCGAGCGCGGCGGTGCCGCCATGGCGGGCCC